GGGCAAAAGTTTGTTTAACAATATATTATTATAGATAATTTTACTAACAAAACTTAGCCCTTAACTAAAATTTTAATGCATGCGCATACGTATTCTGTTACTTGTGTGCTTCTGCCGAAAACAGGGCAGAATGTTACAATTTAAACGCGCAATAAAAAACAAACACGCACCTCCTCTATCCCAAGACATAAAGTTTTTAAATTCTTCATCACGTTTCAAAATAAAGCTATTATTGTCTACTAAAGATCGCCAATAAGTCTACGTAACGAGCGATAGGCGAAAATATGCCACTCATTTATTTTATTTATTATCTGCCAACCACTTATGTTCGGAGATTGTGGAATTTAGAGTTTTAAGGAGTGCGTAAAATCGCAGAATAAATAATAGTAGTACCGTAAAATTCTATAAAGAATTTAATTCATAGAATCAATATGAGTATGACAAAGAGTGATTTGATCAGTTTAAGCAGGTTATTAATTATCTGGCTTCTCGTAACTTTAAAAAGAAATGAATAGGTAACAGCTAGTAAATTGAATTAGAAAATATCTTGTACTACGAGTATTATTTAATTAGGTAGGTACATTAGTACATTAGTTAATTATTATTTAATTAAAACGTTAGAACTTTTCCTGTAAGCCAGATATTGATTTTGCTTGTAGATGTAGCGTAATGGGTCAAGCTGTAAATTAGGACTATTCCACTTTGATCACCTGGATTTTATCACTCAGGTGATCAATGTGGACTCCAGGCGACACTTTGGTGACCTTTGAGCACCCATGCATAAGATCACCTAGGTGATCAAAGTGAACTTCTTATCCATGGGTGATCAAAGGACACCAAAGTGTCGCTTGTACTCCACTTTGATCACCTGGGTGATCAAATCCAAGTTAACAAAGGTGGAATAGACCGTAAATTCTAGCTACACAGGAATACAAATGAGGACAAGAGATCCCGACTAAAGAATATAAGTACAATACTCTAGCCACTCTAGAATTTCAGTAGACAGTGACGATGCAGCAGAACCTAAAGCTTAATTAACCAATAAATTCTATGCTATAAGTAGTTCACAAGGTGGACCGACGACATCATAAAGTTATCACGAAGGCGCTGGATGCAGGCCGCTACCAATCATTGGGGGAGGCTGAAATGATGATGATGATGATGATAAGTTTAGTGCGTTCAATGATGTTACTCGTAGGTACTTATAGCCTAAAAGAAGTTCTCATTATAAATATTATAAAAGGAGACTCCAAAGTTTCCCTGTCCCGACATCGCATCTCAAATTAGCCATTTGAATCGGCAACGTTCCGTTCCACGCACACACCCAAACATAAACGTTCACTGATGTCTCATTTTCTAAATTTGTTACGAAAAGATAAATCTCCACGCCTCTCCGGTCTCGTTAACTAAATCTCTCTGCCCCGCAATCATTCACCGCAAAGAAAAAAAATGGAAACAAACATGAAAAGAACTGTCGCACCGCTGAAATTTAGTAAGTGGTTTGAGCTCATTAAAAAGCTGTAAAATTCTATTACAAGAGTGAATCCGAACTCAATTGTATGCGCGGCAAAATTATCGTTCCGTTTTCGAAATTAACTGTCAACGAAATTTCTGCTCTACCCTCGTAACAATAAAGACTGTAGTTTGTAGATTACGTCAGATCAGCCATGTTTTTTTTTTTCAACAAAATGCGCGGGAAACAAAGACATGCCCCGTTGACAAGTGAGGATAAATTGACATTAATTGCTTTACACTGGTCGGAGCGTTTGCTAGTTTTGATGCTTGTTTTCGTCACTCGACATTAGACTATTTCTGTCGCTAATTAATTTACTTGCTGCGTTATTGCAAGCGATTTGATGAATAGCGCTTGATTAAAGATTCGATTCTAATAAGAACAGAGTTGCTATCCGATATTGAATGGAATCTTTGTTCAACCGCTTTTGAAGTGTTAACCGTTCCATAATGAGTAGAACTTGTAACAAAAGGGTTTATTTCAAATTAAACTTTATCACGTAGTACACGTCTTAGGCTAAAACGCTTACAATTTTATAAAATCTAAAACCCATCATGTGGTTTTCTGAATAATTAAAAATAAAATAATATACATAAATAAAATCATAAATGGAGTATTTAGTCGTCGTGACTCGTTAATGTAGTTTTTTATGTACGTAGAGTTATCATTAAGTAATTATTGAAGACGCGTGTCCGTCCTTGGGTTAGAATCAACAAAACGACCAATTAATTAAATGGGAGCGCGCTTCAGAAGAAATTACCTATATTTCAAGAATATTATAGTAATTTAGTAGGTATACCTAACTGTAAAATCAGATCATTACTATTGCTTCAAACTACGATAACATCAACAAAAATGTCTCCATCAGATTGGCACTGGCCGGATACAATTTTTTACATCTCAAAAACATTTTCAAAACGGTTAAATGTGACACGCACACTCATTATATCATTAAAACTGAAATACAACCCGTTCAGACATTATGTTCTTTGTAATTTCTTTAACGATCGCCGGATAGCTAATAAATCTTCAACACATTCGTCTCTGCGTACAAACGTGTTTTTCGGTCAATAACACTAATTTGTGATGACTATAAGCTCTAACGCCTTCGTCATAAAGCTCCCACCGTTTTAAAAAAGTAGTTTTGACAGTTATTTTCGCGGGCTCATTAGGACGCGTTCACATTGTAAAGTGGCGCTGGCGTCGCTTGAAATACAATATGGCGGTGTCGGTAGCGGAATGACATGTTGATATATTACGCCTAATTACTCATGGCGGGGAGGTGTTTATTGAAAATAGCTTTTAGGTGATGATGTGCTGTGTCCGCTTCCATTTTGAAGAGCGGATTGTCTGGAATGACTTCCGCGGTGCTCGGCCCATTCAGTATCGGGACTCAATGATTGAAAGCCATTAAGATGGTATTATTAGAACAATACGAAGTTTTAAATGAGAATGAAACTGAAACAGTATATTATTCTGACAAAAGATTTTTAAGTCCATTTTTTAAATCCATATTTTTTTTTCTTATAGGCCGTTTCTGAATTGGACTTTCCACTTGGAGCGCGGTGCTTACCTTTTACTCATATGAATTTATAAGAAAAGTTGATGAAAAAATAAAAGCTTAGAACGCTAAGCTGATGATCACGCTCCAGCTGGAAATCGCAATACAGAATCCGGACCTTAGCTTAGGGCCAAAAGCCCGAAAAAGTAATGGATCGGAAACCCTCAACAGAGGAGCGAATTACGGAACTAAACTCAATTCAATATTAATTTGCGGCTTTTGATTGCTGCAATTTCAATAGATATTTAAACCATTACATAATCTAGTAATTCTAATTTTTCTTTTTATTTTATAATACGGACCTAAGCTTGGAAGGATATTTCCTCTAAAAACTTGTAACCTTTTTCTTCTCCTCAGGATCGTCATCTCGCGGGAAGCGCGCGCGCACCGCGTTCAGCGCTCAGCAGATCAAGAGCTTGGAGGCCGAGTTTGAGAAGAACCGGTACTTGTCCGTCGCTGCAAGAGGCCGCCTAGCCAGGCAGCTGAGGCTTACCGAGACTCAGGTAAGGCAATATTGGAAATTTAATTTATGGAGAGAGCTAACTTTCGAGGGAAGCTGATTTATAGACAGATTAGCTAGGCTCGTGTTAACGGATTTACCAGTAGGCTTACATACGGCAAAATAGGCTTTAATTAGTCTACTAATGGTAAATGCGTAAAATGTAAACGAGTGGCATGGGTGAATTTCAATATTTAGATCATATTTAGATTTTCAATTATTGTTCAGACCGTTTTTTCTCGATTACTTACTTGAAAGTTGATCTATTTCCTGTTACGACCTTTCAACCCGTATAATTTTAGCGAAATTTTTTTTGCAAATTCCACTTTTATTTCCAATTCGATTAAAACAATATCTTTTTACAATATTCTTTTTATTTCAGATCAAAATATGGTTCCAAAACCGCCGAACAAAATGGAAACGGAAGTACACCAACGACGTCGAGCTCTTAGCACAGCAATACTACAGCAGCTTAGGAATCGTCGCCCCTAGGCCGATGTTCGTCGGAGACCGCCTTTGGATTTTCAACTACCCTAACCGTCTCCCACCAACTCAACAACAGCAATGGATGAAATCTCTGACCAATATTTCCAATACACACAACCCCTTATTAGAAAGAAATGTTTTTCGAACTATGCCTAAACCGGACATGCCGCCTTTTTTAATTCCACCTCCTTCCACCTACCCGAACGAAAGAGTTTTCCACGATCGAAATTTGAATATGACAGGAAACGTCAAAATTCCCGCGCAAAATCGCCTGGTGCCGCGAGAGGTGTACAACAATATGGCGACCACGCAAAGGAATATGGATCTGTACAGAAATAATATTTTAAGTCATAATAGCCCGCCTCAAGAGGCAAATGTGGACCATTTGAGAAGGCTGGAGGAAAACTTTAGTATTTAAGTCGAACTGCGAGATTCTAGTCTAGTTGTGTAGATAGATACCGACTTTTATTATTTAAATTGACCAAAGATTTTTACCTAATAAATTTTATCATACAATTTGATTTGTTTGTTCTTCCTATAGCTTAATAACGTACGCGTAAAGGGTAACATTGTATAGTTCTTGCCATCCACGAAGACGCGCCCCACCATTCTTCCGCTAATGTTTGAGTGTTATCGGTACACGCTAAATCATCCATGAGTGCACACGCACACTACAATAATGCCGCTCGGATTGCTCGGAGCAAACTCCCCGCACCCCGCGCGACCGAGACCAAACATTGATGGGGCGCGTCCGAGTGGATCAAACAAATTAATAAGTTTTAAAAAATCCTTGACACTTCCAGAGAGTGAGGAATCTTCTTCAAGTGGCAAAGATGGAAAAATGTTAGGACAATTCTTTTGAAAAACCGTCGGTTGAAACGTTTGGCTGTTAGTAAACACACAAGGGTTAAAATGTTGAAGTCTAAAATAAAACGAGCTCAAAGTTTAAATACATAATTTATTACTATGGTACAACATGTTCCGAAGGATTTGCCGATTCATACAGCAATATTAAAAACAATTTTAGGTAACCAAACATTTCATCCGTAATGGAGCCAAAGTTTTAAACGCCTTTCTATTTTTAATGATTTCTTATTCTTAATAATTAAAATTTTCTTGATGTCCACGCTTTATTTTACATTCAAGGTTTCGGCATATTCATAAGTTGCATTTTCGTCGAAATTTCCTAAACGTCCCTTACCACGCATACAAAACACTGCCATAAGTTTTCAATTTAAACATAAAAAATAACAAATGTAGATTTTTCACTCTCATTTTAACACTTTGCTAAAAGACAGTTGCTTTGTTTACGCTTTTTAATGATTTAACGCGTTTGAATGTTTTTTTTAATGCTCGAATCAGGCAATGATTTATTGTCTACAAATTGTGTTAGAACCTTTTTTTATATTTAAAAACTTTATAAAAATAAAAAAAGTGGCCAGGCTTTTAGATATTGCACTAAAAAGTTTAACTTTGAACATTGCCATGTCGTAGAGCAACTGTCTCGATACTAGAGTGGCAACACCGTAGGAAATGCACTGTATTGTTCTATTTAGCTTTACATATAGAATGTGTGGGTGTATATGCTATGCCCAGGCTTTGCTTACAAGTCCATTTTGACACTTCACTTTACTGCTGCGCTTCACAGAGCTGATTCTTGCTACCTGCAAACAACAAAATACAAGTCAATATATTGAGCGTAGTGAACTTTCATTTCATGTAATTGCAATGCAGAGGTGTAATAAGGGGACTTTATAATATTGGTGAAAACTATACAGGGTGGAAACGATAAGTAATCTCACTCGATTATTTGCAAACTATACAAGGTATCGAAAAACTGGTTACTGATCCTGAAAGTGCTTCACGAGCTCTATAAAACGGTAATAGGTTACAGAATAAACTGGATCTGTCTGAAAAATTTATGTTTCCAGCTTCCATACTTAGTACAGCCACACAAAAATATTTACTATTAAGATATCGCAAAACTGGTTACTGATCCTGGGTTAACCGTGCCCTGTAACGCACGCACCTGGCTAGCTGCGCCCTGTAACGCCGTATTTGGCCAGCCGTGCCCTGTGACGTACCCTGTGTGCCCTGTTACGCATGCGCTCGGCCAGCCGTGCCATGTTACGCACGCACCTGGCCAGCTGTGCCCTGTAACGTGGCACGCATCTGGCCAGCTGTCCCTGTGACGCACCTGGCCAGCTGTCTCTGTAAAGCAACTGGTCAGCAGTCCCTGTGCCACGCCTGGCGAGCTTTGTGCTGTGCCACGCCTGGCGAGCTGTGTGCTGTGCCACGCCTGGCGAGCTGTGTGCCGCACGCACCTGACTAGTTATCGTCCTGCATCGTGGTAAAGCAGTTGCCGAGAGCGAGCGGCAAGGTGTGCCCTATAATGTGGCACGCATCTGGCCAGCTGTCCCGGTGACGCACCTGGCTAGCCATGCCTTGTAACGCATCTGGCCAGACGTACCCTGTGACGCACCTGGCTAGCTGTGTCCTGTAACGCTCGCACCTGGCTAGCTGTGTCCTGTGACGCGCCCGGCGAGCTGTGTCCTGTGACGCACCTGGCGAGCTGTGTCCTGTGACGCACCTGGCTAGCTGTCGTCCTGCAGCGTGGTGAAGCGGTTGCCGAGCGCGAGCGGCTGGCGCGCGTGGTGGGCGGGCGCGGGCGAGGCGCCGGCGGTGCTGTAGCCGCCTCGCTTGGCCCCGGGGCCGGCGCCGAGCACCGGGAAGGTGTCGTCGTTGTGGATGTCCGGCGCGTGCTTCTGGAATGGGAATAGAAGGTGTGAGCAAGATTAATTGTGAAAAATATAAAACGTTATCGTAAATAATAACGGTACCGTTATAGCCAATGAACTGCTGTCATAGTGCAAACTTTTTGCTGTCGTGTCACACACACGAGCAAACGTTAGAATAGAGGGGAGCGCGGTGACGACTCCGCGCGCTTTTGTGCTAAGTGATGAATTGTATTAGAAATAAGGCAATATAGTGTGAAAGTTGAGTATTCAGTGTTTTATTTATGATAATAAATGTACCGGCCTCTAACAGTACATTGTCAGCATCAGTATTTCTTTGTCGTTCATAGCGAGACGCCGGAACGCGCGACAGTTGGCGTGCGCCCCCACGCAAATTTTGCGTAGGCCCCTAAGGGCCATGCCACACTAGCGAATTGCAAGCGGAGCGGCGGCTAGACGCACACGCCGCGGTCACCAAAATGATTGCAAAATGCCGCGGTATGCTCGCCGCTGCTCCGCCCAGAAAACGCTTGCAATCCGCCAGTGTGAGCCATAAGAGTTTTCTATTGTTAAGTTAGGTCCCACCATGAAGTGTATGGTAGAAAGTTTTGTCTGGAATCGCACAGTTCCTTCTTCTCACTTAAGGCGAATGATAGAGCACCGGGAACTTTTGTGTCTTGTTCTTCTGCCCTGGTGAGCCCTACATAACCCATCCCGTCCCCGCAGAGCAGGCATACAATTTCATGCATATTTTCACTGACAAATACAAGATCCCATGAAGTGAAAAAGAACATATCCATGAATACTGACTGCCTGGTGGCGGCGCAGCGGCTCGACGGGACGATTGCGTTGCGCGGGCGCGACGTACGCGGCCGGCTTTACCTCGCGCCGCGGCGGCTTCTCCACGGGCGGCGGCGTACTTAGATAGCAATAGACTGACAGCTGACAGCTACGACCCGATGACGTATGACCCGTGACGTCACATCGACGCTCTGATACGGACGGGGAGAACGCGGGTAAGTGGGAGGGAGTCGCATTCCAGCGAGGTTAGTTCGTTCGAGTTGTACGTACATCTTCTCTCGTCTCGTCTCCGCTCAGCTTTACCGTACCGTACGCGCACGGGTGACTTTTGTCACTGTGACAGTGTCTTTCTATAGATGAGAATAAGAACAGCGTTCTCTCCTTTTCTCTCTACAAGAGTGTAAAGGTTTTTCTCTCTATAAAAGTGAAAAAGAATAAGATTTTGTCACGGCCTTAAGAAGTAGTGTACTTAAAACCGGGCCTTAGGCTGGGTGATATTCCGAGATGATATGAGGACACTAAAAATTCCGCTTTATTCGCCCAGGTGAAGTGGAATAATCCGGCTTAAAGGTAAGAGTGGTTGGGTTTTTATGACGGTCAAGCTGTAGATCCTGGCTACACAGGAGTTGTAGAGGTGGGAACGAGAGGTGGGAATAGTCCCGTGTTAGAGGTAAGAGTGTACACTCACTGCCTGGTGACGGCGCAGCGGCTCGACGGGACGATTGCGTTGCGCGGGCGCGACGTACGCGGCCGGCTTCACCTCGCGCCGCGGCGGCTTCTCCACGGGCGGCGGCGTACTTAGATAGCAATAGACTGACAGCTGACAGCTACGACCCGATGACGTATGACCCGTGACGTCACATCGACGCTCTGATACGGACGGGGAGAACGCAGGTAAGTGGGAGACAGAGTCGCATTCCAGCGAGGTTAGTTCGTTCGAGTTGTGCGTACATCTTCTCTCGTCTCGTCTCCGCTCAGCTTTACCGTACCGTACGCGCACGGGTGACTTTTGTCACTGTGACAGTGTCTTTCTATAGATGAGAATAAGAACAGCGTTCTCTCCTTTTCTCTCTACAAGAGTGTAAAGGCTTTTCTCTCTATAAAAGTGAAAAAGAATAAGATTTTGTCACGGTCTTAAGAAGTAGTGTACTTAAAACCGGGCCTTAGGCTGGGTGATATTCCGAGATGATATGAGGACACTAAAAATTCCGCTTTATTCGCCCAGGTGAAGTGGAATAATCCGGCTTAAAGGTAAGAGTGGTTGGGTTTTTATGACGGTCAAGCTGTAGATCCTGGCTACACAGGAGTTGTAGAGGTGGGAATAGTCCCGTGTTAGAGGTAGGAGTGTACACTCACTGCCTGGTGACGGCGCAGCGGCTCGACGGGACGATTGCGTTGCGCGGGCGCGACGTACGCGGCCGGCTTCACCTCGCGCCGCGGCGGCTCCTCCACGGGCGGCGGCGGCGGCGGCGGCTCCACCTCCACCTGCGAAACAAACATAATACCTTTTGTTAATTGTGAAAAGTCTAAAACGATATAGTTATAGTCAATAAGCTGCTGTCATAGAAACGTCAGATTAGATCATTAGAGGGACGCGCGTGAACACAGATAATAAATAAATAAATAAATTATATTATCTGTGCGCGTGGACGACTCCCCGCGCTTTTGTGGTAAGTGATGAATTGTATTTTAAAATGAAGCAATATACATAATGTGAAAGTTAAGTATCCAGTGTTCTATTTATGATAATAGATCTACTGGCTCCTAACACTTTAATTCTAGATATTTAAACCGGCAAACAGTGGTGACTGAGTTTGTTGCGTCGCTTCTTCTCAGCTCTTGCCAATTGCCCGAAACACTGGTAGGATGCGCATTTGTAACACAAAAACTGGGAACAAAAATTGCTGACGTTGATAGGCAACATTGAAATATTACCTGTATTTGGCTGACCTTTGAGTGACGGACGCTCCAGTCAGCCTGTGACCACGGCCGGTGCAACTCGGTCGAAACGCCCCTTCATATGTCACGGACTACTTTATGCTGACTGTTATGTACTAAACCTATGTTCTTCTGATTAATTTCGTTGCGGATCCAATGACAGTTAACTTTCCCCCGGGACAAACTTGACCTTCACTGGTTGGGTTTTTATTGGCGGTCAAGCTGTAGATCCTGGCTACACAGGAGTTGCAGCGGTGGGAACGAGAGGTGGGAATAGTCCCGTTTGACTGTACTAAACATAACTACTTACAGGCTTACTCCACGGCCCCTTCCCTTTGCCAGTGCCTTTTTCTGAGCCCCGTGTAGTCTTGTCAACTTTTTGGCCACTTTGGGTGTCACACGTTACTTTAACTTTGACAAACGTCAAAAATCTGTCAAACTGCATACAAAAAGCACCGATTATCGTTATAGTTATGGTCAAAGTTAGGTAGTGCAACTCAGCATAACTGTACCAAACATAACAGCTACTCACAACTCCACCTTAACTTCCTTAATGTGGATGATCCTCAAATCCCACAAACATAACTGCTTACCTGGAGCTCCCCTAGCTTACCTGGAAGTCTTTAAATAGCTGACAACGCAACTCTTGTAGCGGAGTTTTGGGCTGACACTGTGTAGGTTTGTTGTCGACCCGATAAGAAGACTACTACTCACAGGCTTATTCCACGGGCCCTTCCCCTTCCCGGAGCCTTCCTCGGACTCGGAGCGGCCGCCCGACTCGGGCGCTCCGTTGCCGCCTTGCAGCACCTGGGTCTTGAGCCCCGTGGAGTCTTGGCAGCTTTATGGGTGTCATGGACTTTACGCTGACTGTACTAATGTGGCGACATCTATCGACAACTACAGTCATCAACCAACAGATGGCGCTGACTACCTTACTGCGGCACCCGCCACCGCGCGTAAAATCCTGCATCGCCATATCAAAGTTCTGCGCTCTGACTGAGTATAAAGTCCGGTCGTCGAGCAGATAGAATTTCGTCCAATGACCCCAAGCTACCCGTCTTTATCGCTCGCGCGTAATTACATTGCTGTCGCGACTGTGCGACGGGCGGCCGCAGTGAGTGTGCGAGCGCAACAGCAACATAATTACGCGCGAGCGATAAGGACGGGTAGCTTGGGGTCATTGGACGAAATTCTGCGTGCTCAGCGACCGGTCTTTAAGTATAATAACAATAGCTACTCACAGGCTTATTCCACGGGCCCTTGCCCTTGCCGGAGCCGTCCGGCGCGCTGTCCTCGGACTCGGAGCGGCCGCCCGACTCGGGCGCTCCGTTGCCGCCTTGCAGCACCTGGGTCTTGAGCCCCGTGGAGTCTTGGCACCAGTGGCGTAACTATACCATCCGAGGCCGAGCAATTATGTACATGGGGCCCTTGGCGTATCTAGGGTTATTTGGTTATTTTTCAGGGGTGCCCCGGGACCAGGCTCTGAAGCATCACGTTGCGATTTGGGTCTTGGGCTGGGGACCCTCGGGTCGGGGGCCCGTGGCATTTTGCCAGCCCTGCCACTCTATAGTTACGCCACTGCTTGACACCATTTTGGCCACTTTGGGTGTCACGGACTTTACGCTCACTGTACTAATGTGGCGTCATCTATCGACAACTACAGTCATCAACCAACAGATAACGCTGACACCTACCTTACTATGGCACACGCCGCCGTACGTAAAATCCTGCATCGCGGTATCAAAGTTCTGCGCTCTGACTGAGTATAAAGTCCGGTCGCCGAGCAGATAGAATTTCGTCCAATGACCCCAAGCTACCCGTCTTTATCGCTCGCGCGTAACTATATTGCTGTCGCGACTGTGCGACGGGCGGCCGCAGTGAGTGTGCGAGCGCAACAGCAACATAATTACGCGCGAGCGATAAGGACGGGTAGCTTGGGGTCATTGGACGAAATTCTGCGTGCTCAGCGACCGGACTTTAAATATAATAACAATAGCTACTCACAGGCTTATTCCACGGGCCCTTGCCCTTGCCGGAGCCGTCTGGCGCGCTGTCCTCGGACTCGGAGCGGCCGCCCGACTCGGGCGCTCCGTTGCCGCCTTGCAGCACTTGGATCTTGAGCCCCGTGTAGTCTTTCACGGGTTCCTCGTACTCTTTCCACTCCTCTTCTTCCTGGAAAAGAGAATATGAACGGTAAGGCCCAGAACAGACAGTGAACTGCAACTGCTAGTTACTTTTGAGTTGCATCTAAGTTTCTGCCATAGCGTCTGTTGAGAGACCACACATGACGCGACCAGTTTGAAACTTTCAGTGGTTTCTATGGTCAGTTAATAATGAGTCCATTACAGAGAGGTATTTTACTTGAGACTGCTGTGAACCATGTCAGTCATAGCGCTACAATGATCTTTGTAAAGAAAGGTAATTTAAAATGAGATTTTAAAAACTACAATTACACTGCACAACAAAATTGCAACTTTTGGCTGATGATTGACTTTCATTACATGATGTTTACTAATTTGACGTCGCTGATTCTGAATCTGCCGTCCATTTTTAGGGTTCCGTACCTCAAAAGGAAAAAACGGAACCCTTATAGGATCACTTTGTTGTCCGTCCGTCCGTCTGTCAAGACCCTTTTTCTCAGGAACGCGTGGAGGTATGAAGCTGAAATTTATATCAATTACTCAGGTCTACTGTCCCTTGAAGCTGTGAAAAAATCAAACTTCTAAGCCAACGCAATCAAAAGATACAGCCGTTTATGCCACAAATTTTCGACACTTGCAAGGGAATCAAAACCTACAGGGTGCTTCCCGTGAACTCAGAATCTTGAAATTTGGTACGAAGCAACGTCTTATAGCATAGATAAAGGAAAAATTACGAAAACCATAAATTTTTAGTTACATCACAAAATATATTTTTTTTAAATAATTTTAAACTTACTACCCATTTCCTCATAAACGCGTAGAGGTATTAAATTGAAATTCATACCAAATACTCAGGTCTATAATACCTTTAAGCTGTAACAAAATCAAACTTCTATGTCAACGCAATCAAAAGAAACAGCAATTTAAGCTGCATATTTTGAAACTCGCAAGTACTCGCAAGGGAATCAAAACCTAAAGGGTACTTCCAGTCGACCTAGAATCTTGAAATTTGGCATGAAGCAACGTTTTATAGCACACATGAAGGAAAAATTCCGAAAACCTTAAATTTTTAGTTACATTACAAAATATATATTTTTTAATAAATATAAACTTATTACTTTTTTCCTCATGAACGCGTAGAGCTATCAAGTTGAAATTCATATTAGCCAAGATGGTTTAAACGATCGTTTTAGAGATTTAGAATCTTCAAGTCTTCCGAAAAGACATGGAATGAGTTATTTTGGCATTTTAATTTTTTTTTTTGGAAAATCCGAAAAAATCTTACTATTCTTACACATCGAACTACGTACGAGTCACTTACAAACATGTTTTTTTGGTTGGATGTAATATAAACATCGAATTACACTCTCTTCGCAATCACCTGAACAATTTTATCACAACTCTTAAGGATCTAAGTGAAGAACATGGCGAGCAAATCCACCAGGGCCTTCGTACGATAGAGGGACGCTATCAGGGCCACTGAAATGCACACATGATGGCTGACTGCTGTGGAATCATTCAGAAGAGCTGTCTGCCTTCAGCATCAGCAAGGAAGTCAAATAAAAGAAAGTTTTTTCAACTTAACAACTTCATAAAATAGGATCATCTCTAAAAAAAGAGTGTTTTTTTACAAAAAGACCCAAGTGTCATATTTTTTTAACCAGAGCTGATACAGATATTTCAATCACAGATTTGAAATCGTCATTAAAAATGGGACTAATATCATGTAACATAACCCAATCATCAGAAATGCTGTTGTGCAGTGTTATAACTCAATTTTATTCATATTTTTCATTGAGACTGTAAAATCGGTGCTACAGTGGTCCAAAAAATGAAACTTTTTTATTTGATTACATTTCTATCTTTTGATATCGCAAGTACTGGTTTACAGCTTGTTGAGAACACAACCAAGTAGATCAAGGTTTAAGTCACAGCTGAGCCAATAGGCCTATGTTCAGCAGTGGACGTCCTATGGCTGAAATATTGATGATGACGAATTTTTACGAATAAAAAATCATGAACTTGTATTTCATGGTAGTCAGCTAATTGAATCTTAAATTGTTGAAAAACTTGGCACAAAATTAAATATTAATTGTATACAAAAATATTCCCAATTATCATTTCCAGACAAATATTGCTAATCATGCTCATCAACATCTGTTTTATTATCATTAGGAAAAGTAAACAAAAAATTAAACATTCCAGAAACATGTTATTTAAAAAATTATGTTCCACAATGATCGTTAATTTATGTAAAGACATTAACGACTGGTTTTCTCTTGACATGACGATGTTTAAACAAATAATTAGCTCATATTGTTGACTAATAATTGAGACAACTAGATAATGCTTGCTGTGATATTTAGATTTACAATGTTGTGAGACTGGAATTGAAATCTCACGAACAGCACTGTTTGCTATAAAATCTTATGACAAAGTCTGACTAAAATCTGCTATTTATCTTATCTATATTCTACTACAACCTGGGAACTACCTGACATAGTGTCTAGAACAGGGGTGGCCAACTTTTCTACTGTTTACTAACGAAACCCTGGGTGATCTACCACTTACATACTTCTTGAAATCTTAAATGAAACAGCATAGTTTAGTACACAATCATGTATTTTTTGCCTTGCCACGATCGACTAGACTAATAGCCACCCCTAGTCTAGAACACTATCTACCCAGAGGGTAGAAATCCAAATAATTAAACCATAGAAAGATAAAGCATTGAAATGTTGCTGATGAGACAAATGCCCATGACATGATAAATATGGATTTTATATGCATACTGGCCAAGGGCCAAACAAATTTAACTGGCTGGTCGGCACATTCTCAGGCGGTATGAAGATTACATGCATTAATCGTAACTATTAAAGTATTAAACTCTTACAAAGTGACTGAAGTTTTACTAACATCCAATTTGTAAATCGTAATTTAGGGACAATACTTGTATACATAACTGTATAATTTATTCAAAAACTGCTTAGGTACTATAAATAGCATAGAATGTTCAACAAAATACAGAAAATCAAAAACAAAAGAGTGATTCATTAGCTATCTTGAGGAAATTTATAGTTGTTAATAATTAATAAATTACTATAAATCTTTATTTGCAATTAACAGTCATCTTCATCACATAAGCTTGTTGTTATTATTAAGACTAACAACATATCAATAAAACACCACACGAAACTTAAGTTTTAGAGTGTAATACTACCACAGTACCCACTTTTATTATAGGAGTTTGACAATGCTTTGTAAGCAAAAATGGAAATCAACCAAGTGCTATGAAAATGTATGTAAACTAAATAATTCAGCATGACAATGGGAGATAAGCCTCTTTGTTATTGGTGATGTGGTGGCATGACCTACAAATTACAGGTTAGACGTCGGAATACGCCTAGAAATTGACCTGACAAACTTGACACAGGCCAACATTCGTGCACCAAGTCACATATTATGCCTAACGGTATGTTTTAACGCGGTAAACTACCAGAAACAACTCAAGATTTTGGGGTATATCGTAGAATTAAAAGTTCTCACTCGATCAACGGACTGTGACAGCTAAGCAATGACCTCACAAAATTTAACCAACACAAGTAGTTTTTAGCACTAACTTACCCCAGCTCGGCCGCCCTCTTCACCCTCCTGTACAGGCCTTTCCTTCTTAGGTCGAACATCAGTTTTCTGTTTTGTGTCCTCTAGTTTCTTAGCTAATTCGTCGGCAGTCGCGAACTTTTTTACCGCTTTCTTTTTGCGATCTTTCTTTGCGAAGAAATCGTCTAAATCAGCCATTTCGAATTTTGACTTGTGAATTTTATGTTTTGCTCTGGTAATGAGGTAGTTACAGCAATATTGGAACGAAACAAAGGGGAAAAAATCCCCAAAACGTGAAACGATTTCTGTGGCAAGCGTGGCCGACTGTTTCTTTTTTTTTAAAATGGCAGATTGGATGTTACCATTATTCAAAACTAAAAAACTACCATTGTATAATGTTGCAAGTTCATAAACAGCGTTTCTGTGGTAAATTCTGTTTAGTGAGGTGAGGTGAGGTGTCTGTGGGTGAGGCAAAGGTTGACTGGGAGAGAATACCAATGACAATAAGTTCGCCCCTCAGACATTTTTTTTATGCAAAGATGTTTTAAATAAAGTAAATGTAACCTTGGCTTACCATCATACCTACTTACTTTCCGCTCTATAACGAATCTCATGAAGTCGTGATGGTTATTGCTGGTGATCATAACCATGATGATGACTGAGTCTTTAGGACTCAGTCATGTCAAGGGGAATCCCATCGCAGTTCTAAAGATATATTTAGATAGACACTTCATGAGTGCAAGATATTCTTATGAGTATTTCTCAAAAAAAATGTACGTAACGAAACGGTAGTAACGAAATAGTAAGGCCATAAGGCTTGTTATACATTGGCGAAATATTGTGAATGCTCTTCATTTATTCAATTCGAAATATTTGTAAGTATGCACCCAAATACGGGGTAATATTAAGGGGTTAGAAATAAAATAAGGGAGTAATCATTCATACTATTTTAATAAAATTATTTTTGTTCCATCATGTTTATCCATTTTGAGTCGTTCTCTGTAAGCTTTTTGCCTTTCGGCATTGGTTTTTGGCGGCATTCCTAAAAAAACAAAAGAAGTAATCACATAAAAACGTAATCTAAATGATTTGATAATTTTTTGCTGGTGGCACTTCTGTAAAGCAGATAGTATCCAATCCTTTTGTTATTAACGCTCTATATTTTTTGAAATAAATTAAGTAGTGAATATTACTATGCTTAGTCAGGTAATAACAGTATACACTCAGCATTATGTTGTACTTTTTCGTAACGTAACGAAATTCGTAAAAAACGTAACGAAATATTAGACAAAATGAGATCAGAAACAAGTATTTTTTTGATAAAATTTGTTACAGCAAATATAAAAGCTTACTAAATGTTCGTACCACACGTATTACAAAAAATGGTTAAATGAAGACTTACCGTTCTATATAAAATCGCTGATTTTACTGCCTGTTACGAAAAAGTAATCCCACAAAACACACACGTTTTCACTAATTTTCGCGATAGATGTAATGGCGGAGACGTCAGGCCAACAGCCATTCAGAGTGCAGCTATTGTTGTCCGTGTAAAATAAATACGGAATTGTTCAGAAACCATGGGAAAGTAGAAATAAATCGTAACTAAAGAGTAAATAACGAAATAGTAAATGAGAGCGACTCATTTTGTTTTTTTGCTTTAAATTGCCAATTCATTATGACACCCCATAGAAAATCAATTTGATACAGAAACTGCGATTACTGTAGAACGATAATACAAAGAAATTTACAATAATTTAGTTACGTATCGCATTTTATGAAACAAAAATACATGAAAAAGCTAGGGTGGCAAACAGGTTTTTGTATGAAAGGTAAAAAAGGACTATTTTTAAAATATCTAAATATTTGGTAATAAGTAGGATTATAGCTATAATTCTTCGTTATCTTAAAGATTAATATTCATCCTTCAAAATTGGTTGTGTGTTTTTTTTGTGTGATGATTTATAAATATAAAACTTTTGAACTGTTTCAAAGCACACTTTTTTTTTTCAAAATGTACATTTTTTTTGAGAAATACTCTTATAGCTACAAACACATAAAAAATAAATGTAATTTTACCATCCTTACCTAATGAAAACCCAAACAAATAACATCGCATTCCCACACAACACCAAACCGTCCGTGCGGTGTATCACCTCAAACAGTCGCTTTGCCTTTTCATTTATTCTACCTGAAGGCTTATCAGTCGCCACTCGCCGCTCAAATCGACGCCTATCAATACGATTAAAGATATCTTATCTATTGTAACTTGGTCAGTTAACCAGAAAGTAAGTTGTGGTTGAAACCTGAAGACAAAATGTTGGGACCCATCGCGAGGATTTCCAACCAGGCTGGCAGGAATGTCATGAAGAGTTTTGTGAGGAATGGGTCTGAAGGTGGAATACCAGGAGGGGTGAGATACTTACTTAATTAACTATTTATTACGTAACGATGTGCATTGGCATTTAATTTTGCAACTGTCTATTCCATCAAATTCCATCGGTTTTAATGCTGTGCCGCTCTTGAGAGGTAAAATGGTGATCTTGAAAAAAAAGCAAACCCTTACTGGTATAGATCTTTACTTAGCAGGCTTTAGAAAACTGTTTCAGAATACCTAACTTTTGTACTGTTTTTTATGAGCATGTGAGCCGTTGAAAACAGCTAAGTAGTTAGAATGCGTCGCGTGATATTATCGAATTTGCGTTGTCTATCTATTTATTGTGAGGGTTGACATTTAATAGTTAACGTTGTTCTACTAATTAATTAACTTATTCGAAAATTCAATTATTTTCCTCGGCCACTCCTATTTTACTATCGTACTGATGTGGCAAGGCAACGTAAACGAATTTGGGTTCTATTTCCAGTAGAATGAGATTGCATTTGTATGCACAGTGCCAACTACAACCACTGCAATGAAATTAGTTTCTTATTTACGGCTGCTTGTTTCAAAACAATGTGTACCTACTTGTGAATGTTTGCGAATGCCTGAAGAACAATGGTCAATCTTGTGGAACTCGGTTTAAATTTCAGAGTTACCTAAGTAGGTTCATGTCATGGTTTTAACATCGCACGTAGCTTAATGAAACTTTCATTACAACAAGGAAGAAAACAATTTTTTGACATAAAAAGACGAAGCGGTGTTTGTTCCTGTTTTCAGTGTACTTTTATGACTTTCTTTTATCAAGAGCAAATTCCCATTTCAGCCTACGGGAAACAATAGGAAAACATTAGTATTGAGGCTAACCTATGACCTAATTGGTTTGCATCTATCAAATGGAGCACCAAGACTGAGTAGTAGGCTACTAGGTACTGTAGTAGGTATGAGTTGCTAAAAGAAACAAACTCTAGCTCTAACTCCCTGGAAAATTTTGAAAACAAAACAAGCTCGCCCTTTCTCAAGGACAGTCAATAAACAATCGACCGTCCGAATGTCGGACAGAGGTCGCACGCACCCAACCTAAGTTACAGGGGCTAAGTACCTGGGGGATAATAGCCTAATATTTGATCAAGCAAAATAACGCGTGGCTTGACTGACCGTAGATGATAGTAAACAGACCGTCGATGTAAAAAATGGATAGCATGATAAGGCATGTATACGTTTTAGTTTTACCAAGGTACTACTTATTAGGTACTTGAAATGAAAGCCTACTCGTTTATGGATTTTCTTTTAATTGTTATTAAAACTTTCCCGCCAATAATAAGAAGTGATGTTCTAAAGATGATATTGTGAAGCGACAATACTAGCCCAATGGTGTAAGTTGCAGACTGGCCAAATCTAGATCAGGGAAACGTGGGGGTTCGAAGTTCGAACCCTGCCGTCGCTGGACTATTGTGGTGAACCGACTCGTGCGTGACACAAGCTTAAAGCTTTATCTGGCTTACCATGAAGAGGCAAAGGGTACTTTTACTAATATTCTTTAAATAATAAAACGGGCAGGGAATTACCTCTTAAGCATGTTTACTCTACGCCTTCGTTTCAGCCAAATGACGTTCACAGCTGGACAAAGATTTTTATCCAAGGACCCCAGCACAACGATCGGTCCTGCGCTGCCCGCTTCAGGTTTTCCTGCGACCTTCATCAGATCGTCGGTTCTAACTTAACTTTAAATTCCTATAAATAAAGAACACAATTTACACCATCTCGGGCGCACCCTTTTTGCATATTATAAGCCACTCATTAACCATTATTTTATGCAATTCCAGAACCTGCCGTTTGACATACACAACAGGACCAGGCTGACCCTCAACCTCTTCTGGTTCGTGGGCACCGGCCTCGCCGCGCCTTTCATCATCGTGTGGCATCAAATGGCGAAGAAGTGAGGTAAAGCACCTATTTTGTGTTACGTTACTTCTGTACCTATGTGTTTTTAGAGGTATCTTTAACAGTTTTTATCTATAGATAGGGGGAAAAGGAGTATAGCTGGAATTAAGTACAACAGGGCCCCGATTACGCTAAAAATTTTCATCTTCAACGTCTCCGGACATCAGCTGTTTTGACAAATCCGTATCGCAGAATCCAAGAAATCAAATTCAAGTCAAATCAAGTTAAAAAATTGCGTAGTCGGAGCACTTATGCTGATTGAATTTAATGGCCACAAAGCCAAACGGGTCCCGTTTTGTATCCCATGAAAAATATCGCATCGGCGTATCCCGGCCGCTTTTTTAAGAAGTAAAATGAAATTATTTAGCCACTAGTTTATTCGGAAGAAGTACTTACACGGCTGCTGAAGTGAACAGTGCTTTTGTATTTTGTGTTGACCAATATTTTTTTCTTTTTTTCCAGCACGCACCAGTGTTAAACATCAGAAAATATTACCTCTAGAACTATGATGTACCTAGTTAAATACTGATTATCTCATAATTAAATGTATTTAAAGTAGATTTTGCAGTTTTATTTAATTTTTAAAGGATGCGTTCAGATTTATTTAAATAAAAATATTAAGTGCCAAATTTCTGGACGTGAACGCAATAGTAGTTTTTGAAAAAAAGTATACATTCACTGAAGGAAGGAGGTTATCGAATTTTCACAGATTTACAGGAAATTCTAATTAATTTATCAAAATGCTGGGTCCATTGGCTCGTGTCTCAAACAAGCTTGGCAGGAATGTGATGACCACCTTTGTGAGGAATCACTCCCACGGTGGAGTGCCTGGCGAGGTGAGTTCCAATTTCAAAAATCCTACTACCACATTACATAATTAAACTGCACTGCGTTTTTCTATTGTTTTTATTAAAGCTAACATCAGATCAGTGTCTTCTATTTGTCTACCATAGTTATGAATAAATCGTGTATTTATCTAGGTAATAGTTCTTCAACCAATCCAAAAGTCAGTGTTGATTTTGTCATTGGTAATGGTCTTAATTCACTCATTTTTCAACAACTAATTCCAGAACCTGCCCTTCGACATCTCAAACCGCTACAAGCTGACCCTGTACTTCATCCTGTTTGCTGGTTCCGGACTGTCTGCTCCTTACCTGATCACCCGCCACCAGCTTCTGAAGAAGTAAATTGTAAGTACCTATCATTAAATGTTTGTAATTGGTTAACCTAAATATGAGAAAAAAAATTTTTTCTTTTACATGTTTTTTGCTTGATAATAAGTTTTTCACATAGATTTGTTGTTCAAAAAATAAGTTTTAGGCTCTATGAAACCTGTCATCATCACTAAAAAAACTGTACTGCTTGCTATTGCAATTAATTTCATCTTTTTTATTACAGGTAGTGCAACTGCTATGAACTTTTTGTGATTCCTGGAGTGGAGATCTTTAGGCTAAGTTAGAAATGTGTAACGAAATAATAAATTAAATAAAAAATTATGTTATAAAACTACACAAGTTTTTATTATACTATTAAGTCTACGTTAAGTTCAACTCAGTGCATGTGGTGTTTTAAGTATACTGATTATGAGCTGATAAGTGTTCATAAATTGGACGGTAACATCTTGTATGAATAAGTTATCCTGCTTGTGAATAACTTGCTTAGAAAGCAATAAACTTATATTTAATTTTTAAGTCGCGCGGAGTCCTTTGGACCCCATCGATTCATTTGTAAAATATTTTATTAACTTTGATATAAAATTAAATTATCTATTAAAGCTGAATACATTTGAATTCCCTTGCTGCTTCCCATATTAAAAAAATATGTAGGGATGGGTTATTTTTTTTTCGATTGAAATGTTCAATTTTTTATTTGGATTTGGTTTAAGACTCAATCATCTTCATAATCAATTCTGAAATTGTTTACCTTGAGAACGTAATTTTTTTTGAGAATGTTTTGGTATTGATCCTCTAGGAAAAATATTTGAGTGGTAGCATTTTTTTTTCGTTCGTTCGTTCGTTTCAGCCGAACAAAGCTGGCTTGCCAAAGGCCTCCCCCAAGGATTTTCACAAAGACCGGTCCTGCGCCGCTCGCATACAAGTACCTCCCGCGACCTGCCCACACTACGTCTTTGGGCTCGTGGTAGCCACTGAAGAACTTTCCTGCCCCAGCGGCCATCAGCTCTACGAGCTATGTGCCTCACCCACTGCCACTTGATTTAAGCGATTCTGCGGGCTATGTCAGTCACTCTGGTTCTCCTACGAATCTCTTCATTTCTGATTCAATCAGGATTCAAAGCATAGCACGCTCCATTGCCCTTTGGGTGACCTTGAGCCTACTTATGAGGCCCATAGTAAGCGACCATGTCTCAGATCCGTATACCATCACTGGCAAACTGGCAACATACACTAGTCAAAGACTTTGGTCTTGAGACACTGCGGTATTTCGGACGTGAGAATATCGCGAAGCTTCCCGAACTCTGCCCAGCCGAGTTGGATTCGACGATTCACCTCTTTCTTGTTGTTTTTTTTTATTCGTTTAATATATTACTACTTCCAATTTTTTTTTATAAACCAATGAGGATCATTTCGATTTTTAGCTGTGAATGCAGATTTATAGGGCTAAAAAATCCTTAATACACAGTCCAAAAATTTTTGTTCTACGACAAAAATTGACGAAGTTATGGCCAAATTACTAAAAAAGTTCACTGACCGCCCGGCGCGGGGACGATGACGTCATTATATCCGATCCGAACGCTGCCGGCGTACTGCGTGGATAGAAAATATTTTTTTCTAGCCAAACTATCAGTTTTAGAGAAAAACTTGTAATGACATTTATTCATCAGAATAAAGTAAGCTATCGATAGGTAATTTTTAAAAATAGAAATTGTGAAAAATAACGCAAAAAATCCACACGCTCATACTATTCAATGGAACGCAGAAACGCGATTGGGGTCTCCGCGGTGGTATATTTGGCGATTTATTCAAATAAAGTATACTTATTTTTCACAATTTTTATTTTTAAAAATTACTGGTCGATAGGTTACTTTATTTTGATGAATAAATGTTATTAAAAGTTTTTTTTCTAAAACTGATAGTTTAGCTGGAAAACAATATTTTCCATCCCAATAGTACGCCGGCTGCGCTCGATTCGGATATAATGACGTCACGCGGCCCTGCGTACGTTGACTTTTAGCGGCAAAAACGGCCTATGTTTATTACTTAATATCTTCGTAAGTAATGGTCCGATTTGGAAAATTCAAAAAGATATATCTTTCTTATGTCTTAAAGATTAACGTAGATACTAGTTTTATTGAATTTTCTACAACAGTACTGATCCTCATTGAATGAGCAATGTAACATCACTATTGACCTAATGTCATTTTGACAGAATCTTGTTTTTGTGTCGATTCGATCGATGCTGTTGTTGGTAGACCGAAAAAATATTTAAATTGAAAAGAAACCAAAAAACGGCAATAAACACCAACTTACTTAAAGAAAAACTGAAGTTAACTGTTCCTTAGCTGTAGTGAGTACAGTTTTATTGTCTGAATGTGCCTTTTATCAGTGTAATTACCCGATAGCCGGTACCGATAGTAAACCTGCAATATGACCGAGACTTCGTGCTATATCCTGGACAACGGAGCCTACACGGCCAAGGTGGGCTTCTCCTCTATGGAGCCGAAGATCGTGCCGAACTGTATCATGAAAGCGAAGTCGGAAAGACGTCGGCCTTTTGTCGGATCTCAGATAGACGATTGCAGAGATGCATCTGGTCTTTTCTACATCCTCCCGTTCCAAAAGGGTTTTCTAATCAACTGGGACACACAGAAAACGGTTTGGGACTACATTTTCAGCAAAGAGTGTTGTCCAGTCAACTTTAACGACACCCCGTTGATTATAACCGAGCCTCTTTTCAATTTTGCGTCGATACAGGAGGCCATGACTGAGATTTTCTTCGAAGAGTACGAGTGTCAGTCGTTATTGAGGATTAATGCAACTGATCTAGCGGAGTATTGTTACCGGAAGACGCATAATAACCAGTGCACCGTTGTTGTTGATACAGGATATAGCTTTACGAATATAGTTCCGTATATAAACGGCAAGAAGTACCGGGAAGGCATAAGGAGGATAGACGTGGGCGGCAAAGTGCTGACGAATCATTTGAAGGAGATATTGTCGTACAGGCAGCTCAATGTCATGGATGAGACGTATGTTATCAATCAAGTCAAAGAAGACTCATGTTATGTGTCACAGGACTTTAAAGGCGATATGGAGATAGCTAGAAAGAAAGGTAATTTAGTTCAATATTAACGCCACATTCATTTACAAAGTAAACCATTGTTGTAAAAGATAAAATTATATTATTTTAAATTGTTTAGTTTTGTTTTGGCTAATTATTGAATTCATTTTAAGTGAATAATCCAATGGTTCTAGTTATTTACCTTTGTCCTATCAATATTCTATTACTTATTTATTTTATTTTATTTTTATTTTATTTGTTTAACAATGTTTGAACAGCATTAAATTGTACATAAATGTGCAGGAAGATACAACTTGAACATAAGCCGATTAAAGAAACACATTATATTACTAAAACATTTTTAAATAAGTTAATTTATATTTTTTCCTTTCAGGTAATGAAAACAGCATAATAAAGGACTATGTTCTTCCCGACTACACAACTATACGACGGGGATTCCTTCGTGACGTTGTCAAACCAGACGAAGACTTGGAGCAGCAGACTTTACGTTTGAACAACGAACGATTCACGATACCAGAATTATTATTCCACCCTTCAGATGTTGGAATCCCACAGATGGGCATTCCAGAAGCTATAATGAATTCTATTGAGGCGTGCCCAGAAGAGAACATGGAAAATTTGCTGGGAAACATAGTTTTATACGGTGGAAACGCCTTGTTTCCAGGTTTCCGTGACCGTGTTTACAATGAAGTTCGATCTCTAGCACTAGACCACTTCGATGTCAATGTACATTTAGCAGAAAATCCTGTTACGTATGTATGGGAAGGCGGAAAGACTATATTTAGAGATCCAGACTTCTATTCGTTCTGTATGACGAAAGAGGAGTATGAGGAAGAAGGGAAGGCTCTAGCGTTTGAACGGTTTGACATATAACGGAGAAAACGAGCGAGACTGTCTTCTGACTAAGGCTCCTCGTTCGTTAAACGATGAAATGTTAAATTAATTAAATACTAAAAGCTGTTCCTAGATGAAATGTTTAAGTGCTGGCGAATTCTGATTCATAAAGTGAATTTCTGATAGTTTTCATTCCGGGATTGTTTTACGGAGCGAAATAACTACCTACAAAAAACGCCGATGCGAAGCGATTTCGGAATGAAATCTGTCACGTTTGTAATTTTGTCTACAATCCGATCGAGCAAACTACGCACCTCGCTGGAATGCGACTCTCCGCACACCTTCCCGCTGTTGCCCGGTCCGTACCACAGCGTCGATGTGACGTCACGGCTGTCAGGTGCGCAGTTAATTAACTCGCCCGGGTTGTAAGGAGGATGCCCTATCCAGTGTGGTGCAATTGAACATCCTTGCAATACCCCCCGGCGCTTATGAATATTCTTAACTAGACGTGGACGCTGTTTTGTGGTGGTCCCGGAATCAAAGCTTGAGTAGATATAAAAAAATTGTAACTAGTTATTTTTATAAAATGTAATAATGAAATGATGTCGAAATTATAATAATTTGAATTACGTGAGAATGTCTTTTTTCTAATGGCGCTGGCGTGGAGAACCTCCCTGCATCTCCGCTCTGTGCCGCACGTCGCTGATTCACTCTATCCATTTCCACTGAAAGCTGAGCGGACAGGAGATGTTGAACAACGAAATCTGATCCCTAGCCTACTGAAGGAAGCCACGTAAAGTAGGTAGTGTAAATAAATGTTTTTCTTTGACTAACTAAAGTTAAAGTTCATTTAAAAAGTTTTTCGAAGTAATTTTTTTTACTGATTCGTGATCTAAGTTACTTAAACTCTCTAATGAAGAATGTTCACTAATTTTGTTTTTTAGCTTTCTGTATTCTCTGTTAAAAATAAAAAATACACGTGAAAGAATTATTTCGATACGTCAATTGGTTTCCAAGATATTGAATTTTAAAAGTGCGGGCGGCAGCCGGCCCGCCATTTTATGCGAGTGACGTCATATTACAGTGACTGGCTCATATTTGTATGGGTGGAATCTTGCAAGCTGAATTAAGACCCACTTCCAGGCAACCGATTAAGCTGAAATTTCGCAAACACATGTGATTTGGATGACCATGCAATATTATGATGACATGGAGCTGATCTGATGATGGAGCTGGAAGGTGGCCATAGGAACTCTATAATAAAACGACTTAAATGCATCGAGTTTGGGCTCGTTCGTTTTGTATTGATGAGTATTTTAATTCTATATAGTAATCGGGGTCTAATGATGGAGCTGGAAGGTAATTCGCAATAAAACGACACAATCGCATCAAGTTTGGGTTTGGTTCAATTTTAATTTCTGTGATGGGTCTGGGTGTTAATATGTATAATAAGTTTGTATTTACAAAAAAAAAATATTTAAGTATGTTTATATCCGTTTTCTAGTGAGCGGACGCTGTGAATGTACGTCACACGGGGTCACGTGACCGTCGGCGGGACTCAATATTTAAGCGAACTTTGAATGCCTATAAAATCATAACTACTGGGTATTTTTGAATGAAATAAAAACTAATGTATTTGTAAATGTAAAAGCTTAACTGTAACATAGGTTTCAAGTGATTTTGCATACCTAGTAACATTCTCAATAAATCAACACCCTGTATAGGGTCCCGGGGGAAACAGAGGAGTAGGATCTCCTTCACCGTAGAGGGTAAAAGAAAAATACTGGCCACGTAGCCAATTTACTTTGATTTCTTTTTAATTCTGACATTCTGACCGACAGAATCTCGCACTCGTCACTTTACGACGTGTCAAAAATTAATTTTGTATCAGTTTTTTTCAAATCCAAACCTACCATGTCCTATTTACTAAGAACTATCGCTCGGAGGCTGCTGTCTCGGCCGTTGACGACGTCTCCGGTCCTGCCGACCTGTTGCAGGCCTGCAAAGCGTGACCCCCCCTCTTTAGTGAGACATAAGAAACTACGAGCGCTCTTCCAAGCCGAGGATGGACTGCCCATATGGCTGAAAGCTGGTCTAATGGACAGAATCTTGTATAGTTCCACGATCATCGGCTGTTATACTGGGGTCTGTATGGTGTTGGGCACCATCTATGATAACGCCAAACCTCCTTCGTGGAAGAAGGAGGACACTTGCTGAAGAACTTGAAGATTTAAAGTTTTGTTTTTTGAATAAGTAATGTACAATGGAAATAAAATGTTATAAAAGCAATTCTCTTTCTTTGGTAGCAGCTAGTAGTTATTTCAAAGTAACTAGCTGGTAAGCAGGTAATAGTAGTCAGCCAAGCAAAGCTACGAGCTCAGGCTACGAGATAATAGATCAGCACCAATCATGTGATTTCTGAGTTCGATTCCCACCACCACCTTAATTTTTCCACCTACCTACTCTCCACTACTCATGATTGTAATGTATTGTATTGTAATGCATGAATACTATGTAGATAGGCCTTTTTTGTGTGCCACATTATTACTGGCCACGAGAAACATAGAGAAAAGTTCTATAAAAAATATATTGACACTGTCATTTTCACACAGCGCGAGTGCGTTTTTTACACGAATATTCGCAAACTTAAAAATGTCCAATATTTTCCGCAACTTGAAGCGTCCTTTGCTGCCCACTCGACCAATAACCACCACCCAAGTGCTGAACATTCCCAGGAGTTTGGTCAAATTGCGAAAAATCCAAGCCGATTTCCAATGTGAGGATGGAAGACCTATTTGGTTGAAGGCAGGGTTCCGTGACAGGGTTTTGTATACTTCTACCATCGTTGGCTGCTGGGTCGGCGTGTTCATGGTCCTCGCCACCATCTATGAGAACGCTAAACCGCCCTCGTGGAAGACCAACATATGCTAAAAGGGAAATGTATTAGAATAATGTTAATGATGTGGGTTAATTTTGTAATTTGGAGGAAATTAAATGTCTAAATTAAGTTTAAAAGCTGGTTGTTATTTGTACTTTTAACCATTGTAACGTATGAAGAAAGTAGTACATAGTTGTTAATTCCTCTATGAAGTAGAACGAAGTGGAGAATAGAATTTGCTTTCTATGCAATAAAGTTTTCCCACTACTTTCAAGATCTCATTCTGTTGCAGTTTGCATCATTCCGTTGTTCACCAAAAGAATATAGGGTGATGATTCAACAGGGTGATCCGTGGGTGATTCCATGAAGCTAAAGGGTGATCCATATCATTTCTTAACGAAATATCGAGCCTTTACCGCCATTTTAGCGCAACCGACAAAAACCAAATTTTACAGGAGAAGGTTTTTTTTAAATATTTTTAATCAGAAGTGTGCTAATAACAAGAAAAATGACATACGTTAATGATTTTTAGAGATTTAAATATATGACTGAAAATAAAACAAAAATAATGAGTATTTATGCCATTTATGGCGCATACAATATTTTTGCTGTCACAGTCTATAGATATTCGGGCGTTTACGATAACATTACCTATCAAAATTACTATGTCCAAGAAATTATAATTGTTAAATAAATAGGCATTTTAAATGGTTTTTAAATGAAATATCCACATAATAATCAAAAATTATTTATTCATGAGAAATTTCTTCTTGTACAAATCAATGAACACCACTTATTCAACCACTTATTGCATCTAGAGATTGCAAATATTCAATTGTTTTCTATTTCGAATATTCGAAAAAATTTTCAGTGATATTCGAATATTATTCGAATACTTTCAAAAAATAAAAAGCACTTAAAATATCAATGTTTTTATTGCTGGTTTTATTGCTTTAAGAACTATGTTTTAACTATTTAACAATAAAGTTCTTAAAACAGTTATAAAATTCTCATCATCATCATAATTTCAATAGGACTTCCACTGCTGAACATACGCCTCCCCCAATGACTTTCACAATGACCGGTTGGCACCGGCCTGTATCCAGCGCTTTACCTTTTTCTCAAAATTTGATCTTCCTAGCCGAATCGTTTGTCAGAGGTAAACATACTTGTCAACAGTCAACAGTCTCGAGAATCGAGTTCTAACCGAAACATGGACGTTGAACAAGCTTCGTTTTGTCCATTATCATCCGAAGGCCTACCTGTTGGGAGACTCGATTAAAGTCTTCGAGCATTGTGCCAAGGTCTTCAAGCGATTCTGCCATGACCACAATATCGTCAGCAAACCGCAGCTGAGTGATGTATTTGCCATTAATAGGTATTTATGCCGAATACTTTCCATTCAAGGAGCTTGAAAGCGTCTTCCAATTCAGAGGTCAACGGTTTCGGAGATATAACATCTCCCTACCTCACGCCTCGCCGCAGAGGAATCACCCTTGTGCTTTGCTCCTGTACTCGGACCGACATGGTAGCGTTTCTGTACAGGCATTTCAGCACTTCGATATACCAATAGTCTGAGAGACTGCAGCACTGCTTAAGTCTCGATCGAATCAAAGGCCTTCTCATAGTCCAAGAAGAGCACCACCACGCTTCTATCCCATGCCTCTGGCGTTGTTCCCTGAAGTAAGACGGAGTTAAAGAGTCTCTGAATGAGTTTCGGTGTTCCACCTGCGTTCAAAAGCTCCGAGGTTATGCCGTCATCACCTGGTGCCTTGTTGTTCTTTAGCTGTTTGAGAGCCTTCCCAATCTCGTATAGGCTGATATACGGGATGTCTTTGGTATAGTGTCGCGTTAACCTATCTCTTGCGTCTGTTGCTGAGCTATTAATAGGTTGGGAGGTATATAGCTGTCCATAGATCTTTTCGATCTCACCCAGAACCTCGGCTTTTGTTGACGTTACCGTCCTCCGTCTTCAGCATCGTCAGCTGACTTTGATCAATAGAGTTGTCTCTTTCAAGTTATTTGGAACCTTGGTTTCGCTCTATCGCCTCTTTTATACTATGTGTATCAAAGTAGCGAAAGAAACACAACTACGTAAAAATGAACAGAAAAGGTAGAAACAAGACAACTTAGTGTTCACAAATGCAGTCGGTAACATCAATGACTAGTTTTTTTAGTTGGTGATATGTATTTGATGCTTCCGACTGCATTTGCAAACACTAAGTCGTCTTTTTTCTATCTTTTCTGTTTATTTTTGTAATATTTGAATATTCGAATACATGTTAATTTACTATTCGAATACTAATTTGAAATTAAAAATTCGAATATTCGAATATTCGATTGCAATCTCTAATTGCATCAGAACTTTTGCTGATATAAACAACAGGTTTGTTTATTAGTAAACGCCCACAGTGAAGCGCTAATGTCGCTTGCGATAACAAGTGCGGTCGCTTGCGATAAAATGCATGTGTCGCTTACGTTAAGTTTTAGAAAAAATGTGTATTCACGATAATTTTAGCACTTGCTGTAACTTTGTAACGGTTTTTTTTTGGCGGGCAACACCAACAGGGATGGGTCCGTTACGGTTTAAAATACTAGAATCGATAAAAAACGGTTTTTTGACAAAAGTGTCGCTTACGATAATTTGGCGGTAAAGGCTCGATATCATCTGTCAGCTGTCATACTTAATATGTCAATGTCAAAAACATCGCAAATGTCACTTTTCTGTCCATTGTTTTCCTGAATAGTCTCTGAATTAAAATCTATTTGCATCTCGGATTTGTGTGGTGATTATTTTGTGAAAGATGGCTATGTTCCCAGGAACGGTAGCCTTCGACGAATATGGACGTCCATTTATTATCCTTAGGGACCAGGAAAGGCAAAAACGGCTGACCGGTATAGATGCCTTGAAGGTAAGTTATTTGATAATATTTCAATTAAATCATTTTTAAATTATATCAAAGACGTCTCTCTTTAATTAGGGACTCAGTACCTGTGTATGAGTAACATATTTGGATTAATAAAATCTACTAACCTAAAATAAAAACACCACTAAGAATTTACAAAAATATACATTAATTAGGACTCTTCATCAATAAAAGTAGCTATATTCTGGTGTTTTCACCTCTCCTTAACACTATAAAAGCCCTCAAATTCCGATTTATATCGAAACTTTCTCGAAAATTCGATTTTGTGAACCAGGTGTTCATGAGTCACATGATACAGGCACCTACTCAGTAGTTCGGCTTCAATCCGTTTTGCAAAACAATGGCGTTCCAAAAATGGCATCAAAGTAAGTTTTAAATACAAGTTTATTTGATGATAACATTATCAGCATACAGAATGTTATCTATACTTATAATAAATCTGTAGAGAGGTCAATTCTGTACATTAAGTATATTTTCAAAATAACTATCAGGGGGTGATTAGTGATCGATACTGATGCCAAAAATGCAATCAGTAAAATTTTTGTCTGTCTGTCTGTCTGTCTGTCTGTCTGTCTGTCTGTCTGTCTGTCTGTCTGTCTGTATGTTCCTTATAGAAACAAAAACTACTGGACGGATTTTAACGAAACTTGGTACAATTATTCTTCATACTCCTGGGCAGGTTATAGGATACTTAGGAATTCCCACGGGAATGGGAATTAGCGGGAAAATCGTTTTGTATGAAAAATCTGAACCGCTTAAGTTAGACGCTTGAAATTTGGCATGCAGGTACCTTAGTAAACTTAAAGCTTAGTTACAACAGGATATTGCAAAATTCCCACGGGAACGGGAGTTAGCGGGAAGAAACATTTGTATGAAAAATCTAAACCGCTTAAGTTAGACGCTTGAAATTTGGCATGCAGGTAAACCGCTTAAGTTAGACGCTTGAAATTTGGCATGCAGGTAACTTAGTAAACTTAAAGCTTAGTTACAACAGGATATTGCAAAATTCCCACGGGAACGGGAGTTAGCGGAAAAAAACATTTGTATGAAAAAATCTAAACCGCGTAAGATAGATGAAGGGGGTAAAACGGGATCCACGCGTACGAAGTCGCGGGCGGCCGCTAGTTGTCAAATGAAACTCTAATTGATTTGTTGTAATAAAAAGAAATTAATGAATACATGAAGAATGTTAATCTTACTACAGATTGCACTCTACTTAAATTTTATATATATTTTAAGCCTTTAATGAGCATATCAAGTCCAAATTAATGTTTTTGCATGTTAAAATCTGGTGGGAACTATATTCCCACTGCCTTATAAAGGGTTAAAACTATCATAAGTGACATGCAATAAGTTTTGTTTTGTGTTAATACAAGAAAAAAACTAAACAAAATAATATAAGCATGTTTCTTAGGTAGATATTTATTCAAAATAGATTTATTACCAATATTGATTCGAACACACCCTGTATTATTAGGTGATCAGTTTGTCACTAAATACTATCTAGGTTATTAACCTTTAGGTACTGAGATGGATTTAATTTCACGTAAATACTGACGTGGGGGCCTGAGAGGCCCGTACATATGTGTGCTTATATTTAAAAATATATAATCTTTTTAGGGTTTTATGTTTAATAATTATTAATAGTGGTTATATTTAAATACATTTAAACGATTTTTATGCAAATTAATTGTTAATAAGTACGTATTATTTCAGTATTTAGAAAACATGTAGCATTTTTTGGCAAAAATGTCATGAAATCATGATTCATAAAGTTACCATGAAAAATATTCATAAATTCAACAAATCAACTTAGAATCTTAATTTTCAATAGTCTTTTTAGCTAATGATATATCAGTAATCCTAATATGAAAAAGGGGGAAAAAAATTACACACATCAAATAGTGCGAATTAAACACAGTCTGGATAAACTTGTTTTGCTTAGTGAAGGAAGCCATACATGTTTTTAAAATGTAGATTTAACTTGAATCTTCAAAAGACATGTATGGGACTTAGTTTCATTATTTAAATCTTGATAGACAGGTACAGGCATATCGTTTCCTAACACACGTGCCAAAAACTACTGTTCTTCTATTTTTCGTAAAATGCTGGTTATTTTTACTTCCGAGATACCGCTTTCTCTCAGACGATGTACTGTGGGCTCCATATTATAGATTTTTTCAAATTATTTTAAGAACAGACGACAACTAAAAGAAAACTATAGACAAAAAAAGTTACGCCAATACTGAGGTGGGGGCCTGAGAGGCCCACAAGAAACTTTAAAATTAATTTACCTACTGAAATTGCGCGTGCAATCAGGTGCACAGTTGTTGACAGCCTCGGCGCAATGAAACTCGAAGGTACTAAAAGATTCGCGTGTGTCGTGCACGTGGGAGAGGAGAAATTCTACAATTTGACTTTTTGAAGGCCTGAGAGGCCCCCACGTCAGTAGTTAAAGGTTAATGCAACTTTTGACTTTAATTAAATTTTTAAATAGGCAGTATAATCAAACAATGATCTTATAAAGGATCATTGTTTATCTGCTCTGTCCCTGTCTCCAGTTAGCTTTAGGAAGTTAATATCAACAAGTTTTGCTCAGTGTTGTGATCAGAAAAGCTAAGCAAAAATTATTTTTTTTCAATAAAAAAAATTGCCTTGCTTTATTGTGGTCATGGAGTGAACATGATAGTTTCAAGAACACAAGGATATTTGGGTAATCAAATACTAGCGTTTTTTTCAATGACAGCAAGTTAATATTTTTCATTATTTATTGGTCTGACAATTAGTTTTCCATTAATTTGTTGATTTATTTCATACTATTCTTCACAGATCTGATCTGAATTTCTGATGATTTTGAACTACATAAATAAGCAATTCGTGATGGGTCTGGGTGTTACTATGTATAATTTACGTATGTATTTAAATTTTCTCCATTGTCTAGTACTCATAGTACAAGCTTTGCTTAGTTTGGGACTAGAAGCGTAGTGTAAAATGTCCAAGGATATTTATTTATTTATAACTAGCTGACCCGGCGAACTCTGTTCCGCCTTAAAGGCAATAAATAAGCCATCGCAATTTTTCCTTATTTCCTCACCGTTTAGACCTACCCTGGACTATGAAAAACATTTTAAAACCAAAATGCCGTTCTCGAGTTTTAATCAGACTAACGAACAGTAATTCATTTTTATTTATATAGATTTTTCTTTCTTTCTTTCATTACAGTCTCACATCCAAGCGGCACGCCAGATTGCCGGCATCCTCCGCACATCCCTCGGTCCTCGCGGCCTGGACAAGATGATGGTGTCTCCAGACGGTGAGGTGACAGTCACCAATGATGGAGCCACCATCCTGAAGCTGATGGATGTTGAGCACGAGATCGGGAAGTTGATGGTGCAGTTAGCACAGAGCCAGGACGATGAGATTGGAGATGGAACCACAGGAGTTGTTGTTCTGGCTGGTAAGTGCTGTTGAGTATTTTTATCATCAGGTAGCCTAGACAAAATAATGTTTTCTCTGCCCACTAGTTATTTAGTTTTCACTGCAGTTACAAAAATTATGTCTGCTTGCAAAAGTTCCATGGCGATATGATACGCCATTAGAAAGAAGAAGAAAGAAAAATAGTTTATTTATGATGCGACGACCACACGTCTACGACGGGTATCAAATTGCGGCAGTTTGATTAGCCTAAACTGTAGACTATTGTCGCCTCTACTAATATTCCTAACCTTTAACTATGGACGTGAAAAAATAATCACACTCCCATGGACGTCGGGTTTCACAGACTCCTATCTAACGTTCTTCTTATTTTCATATCTGAATCAATTTGAATTTCCACCAAACTAGAGCTCTGCAGTCACTATTATTTCCACTGAGCATAGAAAATCTTGTAAATAACAAATACTACTGGTTGTTGACACACCCTCACTTTAGTAGAAAGCAGTCTTACCTTTAAACTTTTTTCCACAGGTGCTCTCCTAGAGCAAGCCTCCAACTTGCTAGACAAAGGCATCCACCCGATCCGCATAGCCGACGGCTTCGAAATGGCCGCCGCGACAGCCCTAGCGCACTTGGACTCTATCAGCGAGGCTTTCCCAGTCAATAAGGACACTAGGGAGAATCTGATCAAGGTCGCCATGACAACCCTGGGCAGCAAGGTCGTGGTCAAGTGCCACAGGCTTATGGCGGAGATTGCTGTTGATGTGAGTTACCAAATTATTTCTAAACATCGTAGAACAGGCCCTAGTGCTTTTAGACTTCATCAGCAAGGTGCCTAGTCAATAAGGACACTAGGGAGAACCTGATCAAGGTCGCCATGACCACCCTGGGCAGCAAGGTCGTGGTCAAGTGCCACCGGCTCATGGCGGAGATTGCTGTCGATGTGAGTTTCCAAATTATTTACCAACATCATGATCGTTATGGGTTCTAATTATTAGACTTTCTGAGGCAGGACTTCATTCTTACTTTTGCACATATGTTGGTTTTTGTCATATTCAGTGTTTGGTCTTGCAAATGGACGACTACCGTCCGGTTTAAAGCAAATTAAAAAGCCCTAGTTCCACCAATGGCGATTCACTAATGCGACATAAATACCTTGAAGTAATTACTGCTGTAAATGCGACCTCTCACTTTTTTTACCTACCTTCTTGAGATCCTCAGTTATATCAGCAGATGGGCTTCAAACCAGTAATTAATTTTAGGGCACCATGTATGCTGATCACCAATGATGATTTAAAATATTCACATAGTGTAATGACAAATAATGATATCTACCTTGGCTGTGTCTGAGGTGATCAGCTACCCATCTCACTCTATCCACAACAATACCTATACAAATGACAGAGACAGTTATATTTATTGTCCACAGGCGATCCTCTCGGTGGCAGACCTAGAGAAGCGTGACGTCAACTTTGAGTTGATCAAAGTGGAGGGAAAAGTCGGGGGCAGGATGGAAGACTCCATGCTTGTCCGAGGAGTCGTCATTGACAAGACCATGAGCCACCCACAGATGCCTAAAGTACTGAAGGTAAGAAAAGTTACTTATAGGTCTAGCGCTTAACTCAGTCAGTGGCTGAAGTATGGGAGCAGCACGGGAGGGGTGACATTGACATAATGATTATGACGTGACTAATACCAATCTGAAGTCTCACTGACGTTTGACCGTCACAAAATCACTCCCGTGTCGCTCTTATACCTAAGACACTGACTGAGTTAAGTCCTACCTATAGTTTTTTAAGTATCCCCATTATCCTAGGCGCAGACCACCGACTTTTGTTGGACGATAATTGGGCCCGATTTTAATTTGTATGAAGAATCGGCCCATACCAAATCGGTGTAATGTGCGCACTTTCATACATCTCTATATTGATTAACAGCCCGACCCAACTATCGGCCAACTAAAAGTCAGTGGTCTGCGCCTAGGCTTAACCCTTCAGCTAAGCTTAATATCCATAGGTGGGTGGGTTTATATTGAACACCGATGATGATCAAATATCACATTTGATAATGCATGATACTAACCACTATCTGAGGTGTTACAGCTTTTTGTATATGAAGTAGCCTGCTAATAATTGAATGCCTAGGTCGTAATAGAGTTTAAATAAGGAAAAAGCTTATTGTATTTAAACTAGTATTATGGGTGGTAGAATTTATTTTATAAATAAAATATTGAATACTTGAATATATTTTTTATATTACAAACAACAAACACCTGCCATACTAACCTTATTCCCGAATTGCATGAACATTCAGAATTTTTACGACACCCAAAAATTTACCACGTCAACATTTAAGCCTTTAAAGGGCATAAAAAGTCCAAAATTTTCATTTTTTTGGGACTTTAAGACAAGGTAATAAACTTCAAAATATGGTGGGAAATATATTCCCACTACGGCATCAGTGGGAACATATTTCCCACAAAGGGTTAATTTTAAATATTTCACAGGACGTGAAACTGGCGATCCTGACGTGCCCGTTCGAGCCGCCCAAGCCTAAGACCAAGCATAAGCTGCAAGTTGGCTCCGCTGATGAGTACAGGGAGCTTCGTCAGTACGAACACGACAAGTTCTTGGAGATGGTGCGCCGCGTCAAGGTCAGTTTACACTTCTATAGCCCGGTCTGTGAGCACGTAGAATTTTGTCCAATGACCCCAAGCTATCCATCCTTATCGCTCGCGCGTAATTATATTGCTGTCGCGACTGTGCGACGGGCGCCCGCAGTGAGTGTGCGAGCGCGACAGCAACATAAGGATGGGTAGCTTGGGGTCATCGGACAAAATTCTACCTGCTCAGAGACCGGGCTTTACACTATATTATAGAGGAAAGATTTGTTTGTTTGTATTGAATAGGCTTCGAAACTACTGGATCCCTTGGCTTCTTTCCCTAACACTATAATCCGGGCATTTTTAAGGAGACTCTGAACAGGCACTTACACGGCAGATAATAATATGCTGATCACCGATGATGATTTAAAAATTCACATAGTGTAATGATAAATAATGATGTCTACCTTGGCTGTGTCTGAGGTGATCAGCTCATCACTCATCACACTGAGTTGTCCATGCAAAATACAACCCTGTTCATTGTCAATTTAGCTTAGAGACTCTATCCCCACTTTTTTAAGAGCACTTTTACATTTAGGCCACTTTCACATTAGGGCGTGAGAAGCGCGACAGCAGCGCGGCAGCGGCGTTTTTTAATGTGACGCATCTGCTGTCAATGCTGTCATATTGCATGAAATTGTCAGCAAAAGTCGCTTTAATGTGAAAGCGCTCTTAAGGTAGCCTTTCGAACTAAGCGTCACTGACGCAGCGTCTTTAGCTTTGGTCTTAAAGGTAGCCTTTCGAAGCGAGTTAGTCACGCGGCGTTGGTGGCACCAGGGTTCGAAATGATAATTATCTTGATAATAACAGGTGGATAATTTTCGGTTGATAATAACAAAAAAATGCGCTCATGAAAGTTAACTATATTCGAAGGTTTCTAACGTGTATTTCTGCACTTGTGTCTAGTGGTGGTTGTTATTCAACATAGATAGTTATAAAACCTATCTATTTAGCTCCACAACGATCACTTGTCATCTAGCGTCAAAATATTTATCTATTTTTTACAACTAGCGGTGAATAACTTGAAAAAAAATCAGCAACCATAAACATAAAGCAACATTCACCACTAATAACTGGACTTGAAAAATGCAACATCAGAATTTCTTATGAAACAATATGACAAATGTATTGTATACTGTTGATAAGTATACGATAATTATCATGAAGCGTAATTATCTTGATAATTTCGAACCCTGGGTGGCACAAGACCAAAGCTAAAGACGCTGCGTCTGTGACGCTTAGTTCGAAAGGCTACCTTTAGGCGACTCAAACGCGATATTAATAATTTTATGCTATATGACAGCAGATGCTTCACATTATAACAACGCTGCTGCCGCGATTCTGTCTTACTTCCCACTCGGAATTTTGCAGTGGTGTGGTGGGAATAGTTCTTTTTTACTCGAGTGCGCCAGAAGAAGGGTTACATTTTTGTATGTGATACTGCCGCTATCAACCTGTTAATGTGGAAAGGGGATGCCTATATTCAGCAGTGGACTCGTGTTTTCTGATTCCCACTTTCCACCTCCAGGAGGCTGGTGCTACCCTCGCCATCTGCCAATGGGGCTTCGACGATGAGGCGAACCACCTTCTCCTGACCTAGGGTTTAACAGCCTTACGCGGTTTTGTCAGATCCCGCTCTTTCCCCACTCGGGATTCTATAGGATTTGCAGCGGTGAAAATAGTCCCTTTTTACCCTAGTGCGCCAGAAGAAGGGTTAATTTTTTGTATGTGATACTGCCGCCATCAACCTGTTAATGTCTTTCCACATTAATGATGGTGCCTATATATGTTCAGCAGTGAACTGTTGTTTTCTGATTCCCACTTTCCACCTCCAGGAGGCTGGTGCGACTCTCGCCATCTGCCAATGGGGTTTCGACGACGAAGCCAACCACCTTCTCCTGGCCGAGGGTCTACCAGCAGTCCGCTGGGTCGGCGGGCCCGAAATGGAACTCATCGCGATCGCAACCGGCGGCCGCATCGTGCCGCGCTTCGAAGAACTTACGACGGACAAGCTGGGCTCGTGCGGACTGGTGCGGGAGCTGAGTGAGTGACACGAGTGTCTTAGCGGAGCGGAGCGGAGACGGAGCATCGTGCCGCGCTTCGAAGAACTTACGACGGACAAGCTGGGCTCGTGCGGGAATTAAGTAAGTATTGTCTTTTAGCGTAGCGGAAAAGTGAGGAACGGAGCGGAGAATACGAAACGGAGGTTTTGGGAGCGGAGCGGGGAATACGAAACGGAGGTTTTGGGAGCAGAGCGGGGAATACGAAACGGAGGTTTTGGGAGCGGAACGGGAAATACGAAACGGAGGTTTTGGGAGCGGAGCGGGGAATACGAAACGGAGGTTTTGGGAGCGGAGCGGAAAAGTTAGGTGCGGAGCGATACTGACAGTGAGTAGCGGAGTGGGGAAGTTAGGACCGGAGCGTAAGGAAGGAGTTGTGGAGAAAGGAAATGAAATGGAACGGAGCTATGCCTAAATTTCACTGTTCTTTTGCTGAATTTCACCGCGTGGCGGAGACTAAAGACCGCCTGACTGAGGAACTTGCTAAAGACAAGTTGGAATTGTGAGGTGCTGGAGCTCAAATTCAAATTTTTTATTACTCCATGTTGGTATACAGCGTGTTTGACTGAATCTTTATGGCTCTCCATTGGTTCTAAACAGAGACAAACCGAACTTCCACGCTCTGCTGCTCCTTGATTACGTCACGTGTTAATGTTTTACACCCAGTCCCAGTATAACTTTAGCCTCACTGCTGATTTTGATTTTTAGTTGGCCGATAGTTGTGCCCGATTTTAATTTGTATGAAGAATCGGCCAAATCGAATCGGCGTAGTGTGTGCACTCCCATACATGCCCATACTGATCAACTGCCCGACTAAACTATCGGCGGACGAAAAATCAACGGTGTGCGCCTACTCTTATCCAACACACATACATAATACTTGCCTTTCAATGTCCATTCTTGTTTATTAACCAAATTATTCTCTTTCCAGCATTCGGCACGTCCAAAGAAGAGATGTTAGTCATCGAGCAGTGTTCCAACTCGCGCGCGGTCACGCTCCTCATGCGAGGCGGCAACCGCATGATCGTCGACGAGGCCAAGCGCTCCGTGCACGACGCGCTGTGCATCGTACGAAGCCTCGTGCAGGTCGGTGAAGACACCAGTAGTACACATACATTTTTTGTCCCATAAAATCATTTATAGGGCGCTGGAAAATCCGGCTCGAAGGACCAAAATAGCTGAGAACTCCTATTCTCAGGTTAATTTTTCAGGGAGAGCGATTAGTATAGTTCATGAGTGAGTACTATCTACTATCATTTTCGAATCGGTAGCCGAAAATCCTGGGGACTTTTTGGGGGCACCAAGACCATTCTAGGGTGGTAGCCACGATAGCGCCGCATGATCGTCGACGAGGCCAAGCGCTCCGTGCACGACGCGCTGTGCATCGTCAGAAGCCTCGTGCAGGTCAGTCATATCCAAAGCCAGATCTTCACTAGAGAACACTAATAGAGACGCTTCCTCAATCTGAGGCACGACTCGTTGCCATATGTGGGTATATAGCGCGCGACCCCCTTCTTGCGAGGAAAACTTCGTCACACCAGGCCATTCTAGGGTGGACACTGCCATTGAGCAGTGTACTAGTGCCGTGACGTCACAGCGACGTCACATGACGCGCTCTGCATTGTACGGAGACTAGTGCAGGTCGGTGGAGACACCAGTAGTGTCGATATCTAGAACATCACTACACAATTTTTGTCCCAAAAGATAATTCGTAGGTCGCTGGAAAATCCGGCTCGAAGGACCAAAATTTAGGAGGGAGGGAGATTTCCAATTTAGGAGTTCTCAGGGTTATTTTTCAGGGGGAAAGATTAGTATCATAGCTTACCGATTCGAAAATGATAGTACTATCAGGCCTGTTCATCTCCGCGAGTTTACATCGAAAACAAAACACGCACGATTGCCCCCTACAAGAGTACTATTCGACAAGGCCTCACATACGAGTGAACATTGACTCACGCACGCGTATTCTTGTGTATGATGGAAATAAATAAAGAAAATGGTGTACTAAATTCTGTGCAGTATTTAACTGCCTAAATAATAATAAAAACACAGAATGTACTTTTTTAAGTTGCCTGAAGACACTGAGAGGTAAATAAGTAGTTAATATTATTCATGATAATTCATGCTAAATCATGTATTTCCTCCGCCATTTTCTGCAGATTGGCACCTCACGTCACATCATTTTACCGAAGTCAGCCCTATAGCTTCGGCACAGTACCGATCACTGACGTTTGTCAACAAAACTTCTGACAAACTTGCTTGACTCTTGAGACAAGCTAAATTACACCATATTGTTAATGACATTGAGCATACATTTTTTTAAATACCTTCGCGAAGTAAAACTTCTGTACGTAGTACTTATTATTATTCTGTGGTTCTATCTACTATCATCATATCGGTAGCTCAACCAACATCCTGGGGGCTTTTATAGGGTGGTAGCCACGATAGCCGAACGGTGAAGGGGTCAGACTGGCTGACTCGTCATCCGAAGAACGTGGTTTCGAACCCCGCTGACGCTCGCTTTAGGTGAGCCCACTCGTAACACGCATATGGCCAGTGTCGTTGTCACAAACCGTCTCCATCAGCAACTGCTCTAAGACCGCCTTCACATTAGAGCGTCAGAAGCGCGACAGCAGCGGATTCACTTTAAAAATGCCGCTGCCGCGCTGTTTATAGTATGAAGTTACAAGTCGCGCTGCTAAAGTCGCTTAAATGTGGAAGCGCATTTACTTCTTACCGTTATCGAGCAGTGTCGGTATAGAGATGTAGTCACCGAGCAGTGTTCGAACTCGCGCGCGGTCACGCTTCTCATGCGCGGCGGCAACCGCATGATCGTCGACGAGGCCAAGCGCTCCGTGCACGACGCGCTGTGCATCGTACGAAGTTTGGTGCAGGTTAGTAATATCTGCTAAAGACAGCCGCGGGTCGAGTGGCTCAAAGACGTGACGCTGCCTCAACTTGAGGCAATTTTTGTCCCAAAAGGTCATTCATAGGTCGCTGGAAAATCCGGCTCGAAGGACCATAATATAGGAACAAGCTGTCAAATTTTCAGCGTGCCAATAAGTGCTCCAACCTGTCAAATAGTTACAAAAACGGTTCTGTTTGACATGACGGCATCATGCATCTCTTTTTATCAGTGTTGCTGCTAGAGTCATCTCGCTCGCTCAGTTTTCATGACGTCACAGCGGCGGCAACCGCATGATCGTAGACGAGACCTGCTGTTGGGCTACCGACTCGTAGATGATAGTACTCACTCACGAACTATGATACTAATCGCAAAGCGACTGTTTGGGAGCGAACCCACTCGGCAGCCATCTCCTCGAGGATTCTCAGTTCCTCCTTGTGGGCCATCTCAGCACCAACTACTCTAGATCCTTCCCGTTATCGAGCAGTGTCGGTATAGAGATGTTAGTCATCGAGCAGTGTTCCAACTCGCGCGCGGTCACGCTTCTCATGCGCGGTGGCAACCGCATGATCGTCGACGAGGCCAAGCGCTCCGTGCACGACGCGCTGTGCATCGTACGAAGTTTGGTGCAGGTTAGTAATATCTACTAAAGACAGCCGCGGGTCGAGTGGCTCAAAGACGTGACGCTGCCTCAACTTGAGGCAATTTTTGTCCCAAAAGGTCATTCATAGGTCGCTGGAAAATCCGGCTCGAAGGACCAAAATATAGGAACAAGCTGTCAAATTTTCAGCGTGCCAATAAGTGCTCCAACCTGTCAAATAGTTACAAAAACGGTTCTGTTTGACATGACGGCGACGGCATCACACATCTCTTTTTATCAGCATGATCGTCGACGAGGCCAAGCGCTCCGTGCACGACGCGCTGTGCATCGTACGGAGCCTCGTGCAGGTTAGTCATCTCTACTAGAGACAGCAGCGGCCACTGGCTCAACCTGAGGCAATTTTTGTCCCAATAGATTATTCATAGATCGCTGGAAAATCCGGCTCGAAGGACCAAAATATCGCCGAGCAGATAGAATTTCGTCCAATGACCCCAAGCTACCCATCCTTGTTACTCGCGCGTAATTATATTGCTGTCGCGACTGTGCGACGGGCGCCCGCAGTGAGTGTGCGAGCGCGACAGCAAATTACACACAAGTGATACTTTAGAGGGAGTCACCTCAAGCTCAAAGGCACGACTCGTTGCGAGGCAAACTTCGTTGCACCAGACCATTCTAGGGTGGGCACGGGCATCGAGCAGTGTACTAGATGTCATAGCGCCGTGACGTCAACCGCATGATCGTCGACGAGGCCAAGCGCTCCGTGCACGACGCGCTGTGCATCGTACGAAGCCTGGTGCAGGTCAATCATCTCTACTATTGTCCCAAAAGATCATTCATAGGGCGCTGGAAAATCCGGCTCGAAGGACCAAAATAGCTGAGAACTATTCTCAGGTTAATTTTTCAGGGAGAGCGATTAGTATAGTTCATGAGTGATTACTGTCTACCATCATTTTAGAATCGGTAGCCCTGGGGGCTTTGGGGGGGCACCAAGACCATTCTAGGGTGGTAGCCATGATAGCCGAACGGTGAAGGGGTCAGACTGGCTGACTCCTCATCAAAGAAACACGGGTTCGAACTCCACTGATGCTCGCTTTAGGGTGAGCTCACAGCAGTGATACAAGCATATGGCCAGTGTCGTTGTCACAAACCGTCTCCATCAGCAACTACTCTCATATTAGAGCGTCAGAATCGCGACGGCCGCACGGCAGCTGTGAATTCACTTTAAAAATGCCGCTGCCGCGCTGTTTTAATTAAACTATGAAGTTACAAGTCGCGCTGCTAAAGTCGCTTAAATGTGGAAGCGCACATACTTCTTACCGTTATCGAGCAGTGTCGGTATAGAGATGTAGTCACCGAGCAGTGTTCGAACTCGCGCGCGGTCACGCTTCTCATGCGCGGCGGCAACCGCATGATCGTCGACGAGGCCAAGCGCTCCGTGCACGACGCGCTGTGCATCGTCAGAAGCCTCGTGCAGGTCGGTGAAAACACCAGTAGTGTCGATATACACATACATTTTTTGTCCCATAAAATCAGGCGCTGAAAAATCCGGCTCGAAGGACCAAAATTTAGGAGGGAGGGAGATTTCCAATTTAGGAGTTCTCAGGGTTATTTTTCAGGGGGAAAGATTAGTATCATAGCTCATGAGAGTACTATCTACTATCATTTTCGAATCGGTAGCTCAACCAACACCCTGGGGGCTTTCTGGGGTGTTAGCCACGATAGCCGAACGGTGAAGGGGTCAGACTGGCTGACTCGTCATCCGAAGAACGTGGTTTCGAACCCCGCTAACGCTCGCTTTAGGTGAGCCCACTCGTGACAAGCATATGGCCAGTGTCGTTGTCACCAAGCGTCTCCAGTTACAACTACTCTAAGACCGCCTTCACATTAGCGTCAGAATCGCGACAGCAGTGCGGCAGCAGTGAATTCACTTTAAAAACGCTGTTTATAGTATTAAGTTACAAGTCGCGCTGCTAAAGTCGCTTAATTAATGTGGAAACGCACTTAGTCCTTCCCGTTATCGAGCAGTGTCGGTATAGAGATTTAGTCATCGAGCAGTGTTCCAACTCACGCGCGGTCACGCTACTGATGATGATGATGACTACGATGATGATGATGATGACGCGGTCAGTCATATTCAAACCCATATCCCCGGTAAACACTCTTTCAAGTGGACACGCTGCCTCAACCTGAGGCAGGAATCTTTGCGAGGCAAACTTCGTCACACCAAGCTATTCTAAGGTGTGCACGGCATTACTAGCGCCGTGACGTCACAGCGACGTCACACGACACGTTCTGCAGTCTGGTGCAGGTCGGTGGAGACACCAGTAGTGTCGATATACACAATGCACATACATTTTTGTCCCATAAAATCATTCATAGGGCGCTGGAAAATCCGGCTCGAAGGACTAAAATTTAGGAGGTCTTAAGAGTAATTTTTCAGAGGGAGCGATTAGTATCATAGCTCATGAGTGAGTACTGTCTACCATCATTTTAGAATCGGTAGCCCTGGGGGCTTTGGGGGGGCACCAAGACCATTCTAGGGTGGTAGCCATGATAGCCGAACGGTGAAGGGATCAGACTGGCTGACTCGTCGAACGTGGTTTCGAACCCCGCTTACGCTCGCTTTAGGTGAGCCCACTCGTGCCAACATATGGCCAGTGTCGTTGTCACAAACCGTCTCCAGTTGCAACTACTCTTAGACGGCTTTCACATTAGAGCGTCAGAAGCGCGACAGCAGTGAATTCACTGTTTACGCTGAAGGCGTAATGACGCTCTCTTTGGTTGGGGCTGCGCACTAAGCGAGCCGAATGCAGAGCGAGGAACGCGGACGAATGCTTGAGACAAAACACCGATAGTAAACGCATACCGATTTCTTAAATGTACAGTGGCCTAATAATTCACGTATTTTGACAGTCAAGATCTCGCTGACATGACGTTCAGAAGTCGTCCCATTGAAAAACAGTTTTCATTTTAGAATCGGTAGCCCTGGGGGCTTTGGGGGGGCACCAAGACCATTCTAGGGTGGTAGCCATGATAGCCGAACGGTGAAGGGATCAGACTGGCTGACTCGTCGAACGTGGTTTCGAACCCCGCTTACGCTCGCTTTAGGTGAGCCCACTCGTGCCAACATATGGCCAGTGTCGTTGTCACAAACCGTCTCCAGTTGCAACTACTCTTAGACGGCTTTCACATTAGAGCGTCAGAAGCGCGACAGCAGTGAATTCACTGTTTACGCTGAAGGCGTAATGACGCTCTCTTTGGTTGGGGCTGCGCACTAAGCGAGCCGAATGCAGAGCGAGGAACGCGGACGAATGCTTGAGACAAAACACCGATAGTAAACGCATACCGATTTCTTAAATGTACAGTGGCCTAATAATTCACGTATTTTGACAGTCAAGATCTCGCTGACATGACGTTCAGAAGTCGTCCCATTGAAAAACAGTTTTAAATCCGTATTCACAAGGGTCATTTTGATAGAACGATTACTCGATAGGATCGCAACTCAGTGTTTTGTTGTCCTTGAAGTTTTGTTACGTGAATACGGCTACTGAAGTGAACTGAAGTTACAATCTAATTTGATTGTGTTAACTTATTAATACTTTATTTTACATTTGTATAGAAACTTAAACTTACTTTTTTGTTGCATAATATCTTTTTTCACAAGTGCTCACCTATCTTTCTATTCGCAGGATTCCCGCGTCGTCTACGGCGGAGGCGCGGCCGAGGTGTCGTGCGCGCTGGCCGTGGCGCGCGCGGCCGGCAAGCTGGCGTCGCTCGAGCAGTACTCCTACCGAGCGTTCGCTGATGCTTTGGAAGCCGTCCCGCTCGCGCTCGCTGAGAACAGGTCAGTAGGAGAACATTTCAGATATAGGACGTCCACTGCTGAACATAGGCACAAAGTGGGCAGATGACTTCATACAAGGTACCACGGAGGCGCTGGATGCAGGCCGCTACCAATTAGTTGATCTGCGTTGCGTTGCTGCGTTTGACATTTACTTAGGACAAGTGACAAAAATTAGAAGCGATAATCCAGCATTGATAGTAGCGTACTCCTGTTTGTGATGATTATATGGATGTCTAACGTGGCAAAAATTGGAACTATTAATCCAGCTGTATTGATAGTAATGCCCTTCTGTCAATGTCATAGATAGGACGGTTTAGTGTCTGACATCTATACTTCACGAGACGTATGACACACGTCTTGACACGTGACTATGTAGCCCACTATTCTATTCAACTACTACAAGATATTTTCGCACCGATTTGCTTCGCGTTTCCGCGTTTGTCGTTCACATAGGACAAAGCGAGGTTACTCTAAAAGTCACCCCCAACCGAAGTGTAGTATGTTGCCATCCCTCTCACTCAATATGGGTTGTCAGCATGAGCGACGGAGACAGATAGACCCGTAACTGCGGCGGAGATATCGTGGCGCGTTTGTCATTCACTTAAGACAACGGCAGGATCACTTCCGAAATGTCGTATATTGCCGTCCCTCTCTCGCCAAGCGGGTTGTCAGCATGAGCGACAGAGACAGATAGACCCGTAACTGCGGCCGAGGTGTCGTGCGCGCTGGCCGTGGCGCGCGCGGCCGCCAAGCTGGCGTCGCTGGAACAATACTCCTACCGAGCATTCGCCGACGCTTTGGAGGCCGTCCCGCTCGCGCTCGCTGAGAACAGGTCAGTAGGACATTTCAGACACAGCCATCCCCAATGGTGTCCAGATCGCATTAACAAGATGGGCAGATGACTTCATAAACTTAGCCGTGTGGTGACGGCAGAGTAGAATACATTTGTCACCAACCCCTACTCTTCCCGCGGGTGTCGTAAGAGGCGACTTAGGGACTACACATCAAACAGAGAACGGGCAGCAGCGCTTTTAAACTGCGATCTGCAACCCGCCTGCCAAGCGTGGGAATTATGGCAAAACCCTCCACTATAGTGGAGGAAGCTCATAGTCCAGCACTGGACTGTAAAGGGCTGTTGATGATGATGATGATGACTTCATAAAGATAGCAGGCGCTGGATGCAAAGCTCGCGGAGAACAGGTTAGTAGAACATTGCAGCCATAGAACGACCACTGCTGAACATATGCCTCCCCCAATGACTCACTACAAAGCGGACAGATGGCCCGGCAAGCTGGCGTCGCTCGAGCAGTACTCCTACCGAGCATTCGCCGATGCTTTGGAGGCCGTCCCACTCGCGCTCGCTGAGAACAGGTCAGTAGGAGAACATTTCAGATATAGGACGTCCACTGCTGAACATAGGCACAAAGTGGGCAGATGACTTCATACAAGGTACCACGGAGGCGCTGGATGCAGGCCGCTACCAATTAGTTGATCTGCGTTGCGTTGCTGCGTTTGACATTTACTTAGGACAAGTGACAAAAATTAGAAGCAATAATCCAGCATTGATAGTGGCGTCCTCCTGTTTGTGATAATTATATGGCTGTCTAACGTGGCAAAAATTGGAACTATTAATCCAGCTGTATTGATAGTAACACCCTTCTGTCAATGTCATAGATAGGACGGTTTAGTGTCTGACATCTATACTTCACGAGACGTATGACACTTCATGACACGCGACCACTATTATATTCAACAACTACAAGATATTTTCGCACCAATTTCTTCTCGTTTCCGCGTTTGTCGTTCCCATAGGACAAAGCGAGGTTACTCTAAAAGTCACCCCCAACCGAAGTGTAGTATGTTGCCATCCCTCTCACGCAAAGCGAGTAACCAGCATGAGCGACGGAGACAGATAGACCCGTAACTGCGCGGCGGAGATATCGTGCCGGTGGGATCACTCCCGAAATGTCGTATATTGCCGTCCCTCTCACGCAAAGCGGGTTGTCAGCATGAGCGACGGAGACAGATAGACCCGTAACTGCGGCCGAGGTGTCGTGCGCGCTGGCCGTGGCGCGCGCGGCCGGCAAGCTGGCGTCTCTGGAACAATACTCCTACCGAGCGTTCGCCGATGCTTTGGAAGCCGTCCCGCTCGCGCTCGCTGAGAACAGGTCAGTAGAAGGAGGGGAAAATTGATAGACATTTCTAGAACAAGTCAGTTGTGGTTTGAAAGAGAGAGATGGTTTCCCACCCTAGAATCCAGTGGCGGCACGACTAACTCGTTGTCCTAGGGGAGCGACGGAAAAGAACGCGACGCGACATATTGCGACTATTATAGTCCAACGATTCTCTGGAACGTCAAATGGCAAAAATCAGTACTAATAATCTAGTATTGATAGTAGCGCCCTATAATCATGACACAGTCATGTTATGTGGCTGCCTAATGTGGCAAAAATCGTAACTAATAAACCAGCTGTACCTATTGATAGTAACGCCCCCCTGTCAATGTCATAGCTGGGACGGTTCAGTGTCTGACATCTATACTTCACGAGACGTATGACACAAGTCTTGACACGCGACTACGTAGGTCACTATTAAATTCAACAACTACAAGATATTTTCGCACCAATTTCTTCTCGTTTCCGCGTTTGTCGTTCCCATAGGACAAAGCGAGGTTACTCTAAAAGTCACCCCCTAACCGAAGTGTAGTATGTTGCCATCCCTCTCACTCAATATGGGTTGCCATCATGAGCGACGGAGACAGATAGACCCGTAACTGCGCGGCGGAGATATCGTGCCGGTGGGATCACTTCCGAAATGTCGTATATTGCCATCCCTCTCACGCAAAGCGGGTTGCCATCATGAGCGACGGAGACAGATAGACCCGTAACTGCGGCGGAGGTGTCGTGCGCGCTGGCCGTGGCGCGCGCGGCCGGCAAGCTGGCTGGCGTCGCTCGAACAATACTCCTACCGAGCATTCGCTGATGCTTTGGAGGCTGTGCCGCTCGCGCTCGCCGAGAACAGGTCGGTTGATGTGATAATATGAACATTTCAGCTACAGGACGTCCACTGCTGAACATAGGCACAAAGTGGGCAGATGACTTCATACAAGGTACCACGGAGGCGCTGGATGCAGGCCGCTACCAATTAGTTAATCTGCGTTGCGTTGCTGCGTTTGACATTTACTTAGGACAAGTGACAAAAATTAGAAGCAATAATCCAGCATTGATAGTGGCGTCCTCCTGTGTGTGATTATTATATGGCTGTCTAACGTGGCAAAAATCGGAACTATTAATCCAGCTGTATTGATAGTAACACCCTTCTGTCAATGTCATAGATAGGACGGTTTAGTGTCTGACATCTATACTTCACGAGACGTATGACACTTCATGACACGCGACCACTATTATATTCAACTACTTCAAGATATTTTCGCACCAATTTCTTCGCGTTTCCGCGTTTGTCGTTCCCATATTACAAAGCGAGGTTACTCTAAAAGTCACCTCCAACCGAAGTGAAGTATGTTGCCATCCCTCTCATTCAATATGGGTTGTCAGCATGAGCGACAGTGACAGATAAACTACGGCGGAGATGTCGTGCCGCGTTGTCATTCACTTAGGACAACGGCAGGATCACTTCCGAAATGTCGTATGTTGCCATCCCTCTCACGCAAAGCGGGTTCTCACATGAGCGACGGAGACAGATAGACCCGTAACTGCGGCCGAGGTATCGTGCGCGCTGGCCGTGGCGCGCGCGGCCGGCAAGCTGGCGTCGCTCGAGCAGTACTCCTACCGAGCATTCGCCGATGCTTTGGAAGCCGTGCCGCTCGCGCTCGCTGAGAACAGGTCAGTAGGAGGGCGGGCAAAAACAGGCTTGTGAGAAAAAGGGGGCAGCTGACATCGCTCAAGCAGACCCCTAGACTAGTGGCACTTTTTGATCGAATCGAAAATCGAATCCGTCACAACTCCTTATACAGGGTGGAATTTTGTAATGCCACCTGGAGGGAAAGTACTCTTAATATTGTAGATAGAAAAAAATTCTCAAAAAAAACATTCCTTTATTTTTGAAAATAAATATAACTGCATTCAAAGATTTCCAAAAATTTGCTTGCCACACCCGGCAATTGAACCAACTAAAATCTGTTAAAAATTACATCCTGTATTTTTATTGCATCGATCGTTAGGGTTAAGTATAAGGATGAAATCGCTAACAAACTTGATAAATCAAATGAAAGGAAAACCATGAAATCTTACATTACTTTAATTATGTGCAGAAAATTGTATGGTATGGTAGTGATTTATCGAAAAATTTTCGAAAATCTATGAATGCAGTTCTTTTTCTTTTCAAAAATAAAGGAATGTTTTCTTTCAGTAAAATTTTCTATCTACAGTATTAAGAGTACTTTCCCTGGAGGTGGCATTACAAAATTCCACCCTGTATAAACTGGTTGGAGATTTTAAAGTGCACTTTGTCTAGTAGACCCACTGTATTCCTACCGAGCATTCGTTTGAGGATAGATAGGTATTAGCCGTGAGCGGCTTTTTCAATTTCACCTAATAAATAATAAATGAGCGCAGAGGGCTTTAACCTCGAAATTTACGTAACGAACCTGGTAAATGGTACCAAACATTTCTAGAATAGCTTCTCTATAAAGCTTCTTAGCCTCAGAGGGAAGAACCCTAACTCTAGAATTCGCCTTTGTGTCATTCATGGAAAGCGGTGCCAACTTTTTTAGAAAAAACCCTCTTTCTGGCACAATCAGGTAAAAAACCCGCCTCTATCGCACTGTAGTTCGCATACGGTTTCGACCAACAGCAATCCAATGAAGACTACTTTGAGGTATTCTACAAAACTAGACTGAGTAGATTGTCTTTGTTGCCTTAATATTTTAATTTAAAAAAACACCCAACACCAATAGCGCTCTTTTTCATGCAGCAAAAGGCTGCATTCACACTTGATGTGAACTCCACCACACACTCAACAATATTGTCTTGTACTTACCATAAAACGTTTGTCCGCAGCGGTCTGTCTCCCATCGACACGCTGTCGGAAGTGAAGGCGCGGCAGGTGGCTGAAAACAACTGCAACCTCGGCATCGACTGCATGGACAAGGGTACGTTTCATTTCGCTAAAACATAATGTAATCTATGTGTACTATCCTTAAAAAATAAGCGCAAGCGAACGTCTCCCAGTTGAGAGGATAAATAGGATTCAAACCCAGTCGTGTCACCTAGAAAAACTAACCTAGCATCGTGGCATCATGTCACTACCAAAAACTTTCTAAAAGGTTATACACTCAACATCAAATAAACCGCACCTTTCGCGACGCGAACTTTAAAGATTTTCTTCTGACACACTTATGGTACCCCAACAATATTGGTGTTATTTGAAAGCCCAATAAATATCCTTAGAGAAAAATACATTTAATTTCTAAATAAATGATTAACATATACCATAAATGTGACTTGAAAATAGACCTCACTTTGGGCTCACCTCTGGGATCAATTAGACCAATTTTTATGGTTATAAAACTAAATAAAGATCTCACGTGTCCTCTTTAACAGATGGATAGCGATTAATCCTAACTTAACAGTTTTATAGTCATAAAAAATGGCTATAGAGTAACTACCTATTTTTTGAAGAAGTGACTTTGGATCCTTGTAAAGACACATTTTTGGGGTAAAAACCTTTCCTTTAATGATATGAAGTTTAGAACTAGGCTTTCAAATGGTACCAATGTTGGTGGGAAGTGGGGATGCATACGTTTGATAAGTGCTTGTCGCGGGAGGTGCGATTTATTTGATGCCGAGTGTAGGTTAGTAGATAGTAGCTAGGTTCTATGGTTACTTTTCTACTATAATAAACTTACGTTTTGTTAAATTACCCATTTGAATTGACAATTCCTCAAGTACTTTCATACTCCTTATTATTAAACGAGTTTTTTTTTTATAATAAAGAGATATTTTTAACATTTACACAAACGTATTTCTATCTATTACATACGCCGGGCGTTATTTTTTAAAGTTGGGCATTTTGTTATTTTAGAAAAAAGAAATGTTAGAAATAAAAAAATATTAATGTTCCCTATTTTTGTTGAAAGTATAAAAAATATGAACAAACTTACCGATCGATCGATTTTCCCAGGTTCAAACGACATGAAGGCGATGAACGTGATCGAATCACTTCACTCCAAGAAGCAACAGATTGCGCTCGCCACGCAGCTCGTCAAGATGATCCTCAAGATCGACGACGTGCGCTCGCCGGCCGACGCCATCGACTAGACAGTGGTAGACTGGCGAGGATGTTCGTAAAACGTGGCGAGATTCGGCTTTTGGGACGCGTATTTTGGGCTCTTTCAGGGGTGTATTCCATTTTGATCACATGGGTCTGGTTTGATTACCTGAATGTCCTTATAATTGTTGTACTTACATATTTTTTGCAACATTTTTGGTATTTTCTAAAAACCGCGACAAATTGGACATGTATGTGACTATTCAGAGGTGTTATTTGTTTATTGGTGATCAAAGGAAACTAAAATAATAATTAAACTGGAGTCCACTTTGATCACCCAGGTCAGCTTAATCATGGTTAAAAGGATACCAAAACTTGTTCACGTGTGTGTTTTGTATCGTGCCGAAAAACGCCAATCTGAAAGTCTATGGTTATTCTACTGATCGAGCTGGCTCGATTATATGACATCAATATAAAGTTGAGTTATGTAATGCCTCGCCTCATGATAAAATATCTCCAATTTAATTTGTCCACATTATACTCGTCGGAAGTCTTCACAATAATTAAGAACTAATTATATTATTTTAGTTTTATTTGTAATTTAAAGCCTACGTTGTTTCTGATGGCAAATTTCAAGGAATAAATAATATTTAATATTTCAACGTTTGACTGTTATGTAACATTATTTTGAAATATATTTTCGTTTGCCAAATTTTATAATTTCCTAAAATGCATATCTTATGAATATTACGAAATGGATTTTAGTAAATTAACTTTATACCTACTCGAACACCGGATTTGTTAATAACATTTCCATATATTTTATTTTCACAAGTATTAAAAATGTGTCTCAATCGAGTGGTGTCTACTGCTAGGTGTAAGTCACTGCATTTGGTATGAGCGTACGGGTGTACGATGTGATGGATGCCTTATTGCACTAATAAAATTAATGAGCTATTTATGTATGGTTTTATTTTTATACTAAATTGGCCCTGACACCAACCCACTTAAATTACCCACGATGCCTTCTTTTTTGGCAATTTATACACACATCTCACTACATTATTTCTTTTGAATCGTTATCAATAATTTGTAAATAGGCACGTTATGATTATACAAATCAATAAAGATTTATAATTTGTTAAAGTTTATCGCGTATTGTAATTACAAGTTTACTATTTACGAACCACAATGTTCAAGTTTTAATGGACAAACATTGTTTCTTCTGGTTCTCCACGTGATTTACCTATTTATTGAAGTTATAAACGAATCTTACTTTGTAAAATGTAAAAATAAAATTCCCTGTGCCACGTGAGGGACAGAGCACGTGTATTGAAGAAAGGGGTAAAAACTTTCAGCAGCAGTTTACACAATAAAATTATTTTTGAGAACACGTGCTAGCGAAGCCATTTTCATCAACGTGCGTTTCCCCATTTCATTCGCAAATTACGATTATTAATGATCAGTAATCTTTAAGTTCTAAACTCATGAACGGATTCTGATACAACAAATTGAAAAATAAAAATAAATCAAGGTAAAAATACCTATATTGAATCTGGAAGATTGCTTTTTTTTAGCGCAATTTGCCTAAATTGGCACAATTTAGTCTAGGTATTTCTTTCTTTCATAAAGGAGGAGGTTCTCATTTAGATTGGTTTTTCTTGTGTAGTGTACAATAATGTTCTATCTATCATCTTATGTTGAGTAGGAAACCAAAACTGAAGGTAAGGGAAAGCAATAAATGAAACAAAGTATATTGTGTACAATTAACTGTTATTTTATTTGGAAGTAAATAATGCTATATACAATCCGTCGCCACACGCTGAGAGGGGCTCCGGCCCCGACTTAAAGCTAGAACTTGTGACTATGCGGTTACATCGTCAGCTCCTGCAACACAAAACAAGAAAAATGTTACAACCATGGTTTTAAAAGAAGTTCCGATAGAAGGGTCTGACGCAGAAATGCGCACTTTTCCATGCTAATAAACTCTTCGGCCTTTACTTTTGTATAGAAAAATCCACATTTTGCGCAGTGCACATTCAGCGTCAGACTCCGATAGAAGAAGCTCAATGTAAATACAGTTCGAATATTTTTTCCTGTGAGCGTTTGATTAAATTGAAAAGAAACAAAAATACTGCTATTCAACAACGCCCTGCTTGTTGTTTCATCAATATTCCGGCAACCAGTCTTATCTATTTTTTTCCTGACATATCTCAAGTTAGTCGTATCTCAAAAGGGTTTTTTATATTAGATCTGCCTCCATAAAATGGTCATCCCGACCTCAGCATTTGTTGCTTACTTTTGGTGATTCGCTGCTGCCCCTTTATGCACCTGAGTAGGAAGGTAACAAAAAACAAAATGGCAAACCAATATGGCGTTGACGTTGCGTCGGAGTGCGAGACGTTGACCTCCAACAAGATGTCGATATTTCGTCATCTTGCATCCCAATATGAACAATAGAAAACAACATACATACCATGATGGCGTTGACGATGTTGGAAGTGGTATTATTACGTTGCGCTCGCACGACGATCACAGCCGACTGCCGGGCAACGACCGGTCTGATTCTTCCCGTAACCTTCACCAGATCGTCGCTAATGAGACTAGCCTATACCGTCTTCAACATTCGACACTTTTTCTGCTCCAACGGCGACCAGTCCTGCGAGCTATATGTAACTATCACCCCTCCCGCCTCGCGGCATGAGAGGGAGGCATAACTCAGTCAGTGTCTGCTAAAGTCCGGTCGCCGAGCACGTAGAATTTTATCCTATGACCCCAAGCTACCCCATCCTTATCGCTCGCACACTCACTGCGGCCGCCCATCGCACATTGGATGATATTCTATCTGCTCGGTGACCGAACTTTTGACCTATAATAACGTACCATGATGGCGTTGACGATGTCGGAGTGGTTGTTGCGCAGGGCTCGGACGGCGCGCGCGCGCGACACGTTGGCCTGCGACATGACGATCTCCACGTGCTTCTAGTCTAGTAGATCTATAGTCTGTTCCGGGAGCACGTAAAATTTTGTCCAATGACCCCAAGCTACCCATCCTTATCGCTCGCGCGTAATTATGTTGCTGTCGCGCTCGCACACTCACTGCGGGCGCCCGTCGCACAGTCGCGAGCGATAAGGATGGGTAGCTTGGGGTCATTGGACAAAATTCTACGTGCTCCCGGACCAGACTATACATAATACGTACCATGATGGCGTTGACGATGTCGGAGTGGTTGTTGCGCAGGGCTCGGACGGCGCGCGCGCGCGACACGTTGGCCTGCGACATGACGATTTCCACGTCCTTTTCGTCGACGCCGGCGCCGGCTTCTTCGGCGCCTTCAGAGTCCTCCTCCTCGGCGATCGGCGCCACGGTCTGTGAGGGAAAAATGTTAGATTAGTTGACAGAAAGTGTGCTGATGACTGTCTTAGGCTGGGTTGCACCATCTTACTTTAACCTTTAGCTACTGAGGTGGATTTAATTTCACGTAAACACTGACGTGGGGGCCTGAGAGGCCCGCACATATGTGTGCTTATATTTAAAAATATAAAATCTTTTTAGGGTTTTATGTTTAATAATTATTAATAGTGGTTATATTTAAATACAATAAAACGATTTTTATGTAAATTATTTGTTAATAAGTACGTATTATTTCAATATTTAGAAAACATGTAGCATTTTTGGAAAAAATCTCATGAAATCATGATTCACAAAGTTATCATGAAAAATATTCATAAATTCAACAAATCAACTTAGAATCTTAATTTTCAATAGTCTTTTTAGCTAATGATAAATCAGTAATCCTAATTTGAAATAGGGGGAAAAAAATTACACACATCAAATAGTGTGAATTAAACACAGTCTGGATAAACTTGCTTTGCTCAGAGAAGGAAGCCATACATGTTTTTAAAATGTAGATTTCATTTGAATCTTCAAAATACATGTATGGCACTTGGTTTCATCGTTTAAATCTTGATAGACAGGTACAGGCTTATCATTTTCTAGCATACGTGCCAAAAACTACTGTTCTTCTATTTTTCGTTAAATGCTGGTTATTTTTACTTCCGAAATACCGCTTTCTCTCGGACGACGTACTGTGGGCTCCATATTATAGATTTTTACAAATTATTTCAAGAAAAGACGACAACTAAATGAAAACTATAAACAAAAAAAGTTACGCCAATACTGAGGTGGGGGCCTGAGAGGCCCACAAGAAACTTTAAAATTAATTTACCTACTGAAATTGCGCGTGCAATCACGTGCACCGTTGTTGACAGCCTCGGCGCAATGAAACTCGAAGGTACTAAAAGATTCGGGTGTGTCGTGCACGTGGGAGAGGAGAAATTCAACAATTTGACTTTTGCAAGGCCTGAGAGGCCCCCACGTCAGTAGTTAAAGGCTTTGACAAACGTCAAAAATCTGCTAACTCCATACAAAAAAGACCGGTTATCGTCATAGTTACGGTCAAAGTTAGGTGGTGCAACTCAGCTTTAGACCGCCTTCACATTAGGGCGTCAGAAGCGCGACAGCAGCGAATTCTAGAGAGTGCAATCTTACAGTAAAATCTTCAATCTCGGTATTTGCAAGATTTAAGAGGTCTAATCTCGCAAGAACGCGGTATTTTGCGAGATCTCGCAAGTCTATGAATTATTTTTATTAAGATGGTGCAACCCAGCCTTAATGTTGTTGCTTCCTCTTATATCCATGCGTGTTAACTAGTAACATCAATGTGTTAACAGAAGATCTAGATCAAACATCTTTTATCTTATGATTTGATTAAATATTAAACCTCAATCTATGCTTGAAAATGAATTAAGTTGTGATCTATGAAAAATTAATTATGTTGAACCGCATAAGCTTCTGTGGTAGTTCAAAAGGACCAGACTCCAAAAATCAATAACTTGAAATTGACCTTAGTAGTCATATAAATTCAGTAAAATTCACAAGTTACAATATTTGGCGGACACATAACATAAGAATAAAAAATACATGTGTATCTTTCTAAAATTTTACCCACTAGCAAACATATGCAAATATCAACACCCAGGCCATAAATAGATTCCAACGACCTAAATTGTCCAACCCACATCAATCGCCATTTCAACTTTTAAAGTTATGCTAAACGTATCAACTCACGTCAGATATGATCTCGCAAGCAAACTGAATACAATTTGCTTC